AGCATCTGATAGGTTGGCTATCTCTGTTTCACTTAGTTCTTTCTCTGGGGTTCTGTCTCTTCCTTCACTTGGGCCGTATTTCTTTATCTCCCGATTTTGGCAGCCTCCCTGTGCCTGTATACTAGGTAGAGCTGCTCTGATTGCATTTTAGCGCTCCTGTTAAGTCATATCAGGCAGAGCCTTTGGTATTTGCCAGGATGGGGGCAGCTGTATCTTCATGTGGGGGGGGAGGGGTCAAAGAGGGGACAGTTCTCTTGCTGGCTGCCTTCTGGGCACTTGTCTGGCCCTCGCCCTATTTCCAGTCACTTCACTCACTTCTTGTATGCAACTGGGCCTCTCCAGCTGCTATCTGGGTTTTGGTTACTAGGGTGGGTGGGTCTGCATACATTCTAGGCTCTCCTGAGAAACCAGCAGTTTTTTCTGCTGCCCCAATCCCCACTGGGTTTATAGCCAGAAGTTACGAGGCTTTATTTTCCCTGGCGCTGGAGCCCTGGACTGCATGGTCCGGCCTGGGGATGGGCTTGCTCATTCACAATTGTCTCCCAATTTTTATCTGCCCCACCTGAATGTGGGGCTGGCTGCCCATTCTGTCAGCCACCACTGCCTCTCTGTCCTTCTGCCCCAACTCCTCGTCTCCACCCCTTCTACCCATCTGGATGAACATAGCTTCTCTAAGTCCTTGGTTGTTGGACCTCCATATAGTTCTGGGTGTTTTTCTGGGTGTTTAAGTTAGTTGTGTTCTTTCTTACAGTTGCACAGTGAGGCGAGGTGTGTCTGTCTATGCCTCCATCTTGACAGAACTTAATAATTTTGAAAGAATTATAAGAGAATACTATACCCAAACAAGTTAGATAACTTAGATGAAAAAGAGCCATGGCTGGTATGGCTCAGTGGATTAAATGCTGACCTGCAAACTGAAAGGTCACCAGTTTGGTTTCCAGTCAGGGCACATGCCTGGGTTGCAGGCCGGTCCCCAGCTGGGGACATGGGAGAGGGAACCAATCAATGTGTCTCTCGCACATTGATGTTTCTCTCCCTTTCTCCCTCCCTTCCCCTCTCTCTAAAAGTACATAAATAAAATCCTAAAAAGAAAAATAATAATTCCTAGAACACAACACCTACCATGACTACATCCTGAAGAAACAGAAAGTGTGACTAGACCTATAACTAGTAAGGATATTGAACCAGTAGTAAAAAATATGATAAAAGCCCAGGACCTAATGGCTTCATTGGCGAATTCTACCAAACATTTAAAGAACTAATACCAATCCTCAAACTTTTCCAGAAACATTGAAGAGGTAATACTTCATAATTCATTCTATGAGGTCAGGATAATGCTGACACTAAAGCCATAACAACAACAAAAGAAAAAGACTGTAAGAAAACTATATATTAGTGTCTTTTATAAATATTCATGCAAAACCCCCCGAAAAAATACTCAAAAACCAAATTCAACAGCATACTAAAAGGGTTATCCACCAAGTGAGATTTAATCCTGGAATGATATAATACATCACATTAACAAAACAAAGAAATGAACATGATCATCTTGATTGATGCAGAAAAAGCCTTTGATAAAATTCAATATCCTTTCATGATAAAAACTATTCAACAAACTAGGAATAGGAGGAAACTACTTCAACATAATAAAAGCCATATACAAAAATCCAGTAACAAACATTATACTCAGTGGTAAAGAAGTGAAAGCATTTTCTCTAAGATCAGGATCAAGGCAAATGTGTCTGCTTTCACCATTTCCATTCAACATAATAGTGGAAGGTCTAGCCAGGGCAATTAGGCAAGGAATAAAAAAAATCCAAATTGGAAAGGAAGAAGTAAAATGATCTGTTTGCAGATGATAGAATCTTATAAGTAGAAAGCTCTAAAGAGTCCTCAAAAACAAAACAAAAAAAGCCTTTAGAACTAATAGATGAACAAAGTAGCAGGATACAAAACTACACAAAACTCAGTTGCATTTCTATACATTAATAGTGAAAAGAAAATTAGGAAAACAATTCCATTTACAATAGCATCAAAAAAGAATAAAATACTTAGAAATAAACTTAACCAATAAGTCAAAATACATGTACATTGGAAACTACAGAACATTAAAGACGACACAAATGGAAAGACATCCCATGCTCATGAATCGGAATACTTAAGATTGCGATGTCCCTACTATCCAAAGCAATCTACAGATTTAAGGTAATCCCTAACAAAATCCCAGCAGCAGGGTTGGTTTTTCTTTTCAGAAATAGAAAAACTCATCCTAAAAATCATATGGAATCTCATGGGATCCTGAAGAACCAAAACAATTTTGAAAAAGAACAAAGATGGAGGACTCACTGCCTGATAACAAAACAACTACAAAGCCATAGTAATCAAAACAGCGTAGTACTGACATACAGACAAACATGTAGACTAGAAATAGAATAAAGAATCCAGGAATAAGCCTTCACATACATTTGCAAGTGATTTTTGATAAGGGTACCAAGACCATTCAACAGGAAAGGGCAATCTTTTCAACAAATGGTGGGAAAACTAGAATCTACATGCAAAGAAATGAAGTTAGACTGTTACCTAACACCATATACAAAAATTAAGTCAAAACAGATGAAAGACGTAAATGTAAGACATCAAAAGTCAATTGAGTAAAGGCAACCCAGAGAATGTGAGAAAATATAAATGATGTTATCTGATAAGGGATTAATATCTAGAATATATAAAGAACTCTTAGAACTTAACAACAACAACAAAAAAACACAAATGATCTGAGGAGACATTTATCTAAAGAAGTATAGACAGGGCCAATAAGCACATGAAAATATGTTTGACATCACTAGTCATTAGGGAAATGCAAATCAAAACTACAGTGAGAAACCACCTTACATCTGTTAGGATAACTGCTATCAAAAACTCAGAAAATAAGTGTTGGTGAGGATGTAGAGAAATTGGAACCCTGTGCATTGCTAATTAGAAGGTAAAAAGCTACAGTTGTGGAAAATGGGATGGAGATTCTTGAAAAAGTTAAAAATAGTCTGGTTATAGACTCAAAAGAACTGAAAGTAGAATCTCAAAGACATATTTATACATCCATGTTCACAGCAGCAGTATTCACAATAGCTAAAATATGGAAGCAACCCAAGTGTCCACCAAAGGATGAATAGATAAGCAAAATGTGGTAAATACATACAACAGAATATTACTGAGCTTTAAAAGGGAAGGGAAATTCTGACACGTGCTACAGCATGGATGAATCTTAAGGACATTATGCAAATGGAAATGAGCCATTCACAAAAAGACAAATGCTGTATGAGGTACATAATCAGAATCATAGATATCCCTAAGTGGTGTGGCCCAGTGGGCTGGGCATCGTCCTGCAAACTTAAATTGATTGCTGTTTCTCACATTGATCTTTCTCTTCCTCTATTTCTCCCCCACCCCTCTCTAAAAAGAAAAAGAATATATTAAAAACAATCTTAGCCCTGACTGGTGTAGCTCAGTTGGTTGAGCCAAACTGAAAGGTCACCAGTTCGATTCCCAGTCAGGGCACATGCCTGGGTTGTGGGCCAGTCCCCAGTTGGGGCATGTGTGAGAGACAACCAATCAATGTTTCTCTTCTCACACATAGATGTTTCTCTTCTCACACATAGATGTTTCCCTCTCTCCTTCCCTTCCCTCTCTATAAGAATAAATAAAATCTTTTTTTAAAAACTTTTATAATTCCACAGCTCATTTATTTAAAAAATAAAATAATTTTTAAAAATCATAAAGATAGAAATGTTGCCCAGGCCGGGGGCTTATGAAGCTCAATCTGTGTTCCTGAAGATACCCTAATTTGCTGTAGTGCAAATACTGTTGATTGTTACTGTGTATCAGGCACCATGGGTGCTTGCTACTGTTGGGTGGTCTCAGTTAATTCTTACAACTTTTGAAGTGAGGACTGATTCCTATTACAATCCTGCTTGAGAAAACTGAAACCCAGAATGTTTCAACATTTTGCCCAGATAAGACAGCTCTTAAAACAGAGCTGAAAGCGACTCTGAAGTCTGTGTTTCCTCTGATACCCAACATGGCCCTTGGTGTCTGGGCGTGGGAGAACACGGAGGCTGAGATTGGGGTGGCTGCAGGCTGTGTTTCCTGCTTTGTGTTGCCGCCTGGAGCACCACTCCCAGCAGAAATGGAGAGCTTACTTGGACAGATGTGTTCAGTCCCTCCCTGAGTGGCAGAGCTAGAAGGATAGTTCACATTCATAGGATTTGGCCCCTAGCCCTCTTAAGCCCCAATGTCCTACAGATCCTGAACATGGCATCTCTCTACCTCTAACCCTTTCAGGCTGGGCCTGAGCGGGGCCTGGGTGCTGCCTTACAGAAGTTGAATAATTCAGGCCCCAGTGACTCGAGGTGTCAGATTCAGCTGCTCTATTCCCTTGGGCACAGGGGTAATTAAGCTAATGAAAAGGGCAAAGAGGAGAAGTGTGCTGTCTTGTGCCTCAGAGGGCTCAGGACTGATGGAGTCCCTGCCCCTGTCCTGCTGAAAATGCACCAGGTATGGAGAATGGAACCAGGAATTTATGGGGGCTGAGATAGAAAGAGGAGAGAGAAAAGGAGAGTGGAAAGAGGAAGATCAGCGTTAGGGAAGCCAAGAAAGACCACGAAAGAGTTACAAATAGACAGAAGGAAACAGAGAAGCTGAATGAGAGGTAAAGGGGCGCGGGGCAGAGAAAAGAACAGAGGCAAAGGCCAGAAGAGGCAAGGACCAGCAGAGAAGGAGAAACAGCAGATGCAAAGGACCAAGTGCTAAAATCCAAGGGCAGATACAAAAAGGAGAGTCAAATAGCCAGATAGGCTTCAGGGCTTCCCGTAGGGTAGCTGGACTGAGCAAAGATCTGTCTTACTTCTGATTTCCAGGTATTGTCTGCATCATCCTTGCCAGCAGGCCCTGATGCTGCCCTGGGTCAGGCCAGGAGGCTCACTCCCAAAACCCTGCCCAGCAGAGCCATGGGGCCCAGGACCCGCCTCCTCAGCCGTGGCTTCTCTGTCTCCAGACTTGGCCTTCTGCTCCTGCTCCCACTCCTTCCAGGTATCAAGCTCAGTGAACCAGGCCTGAACTCTCTGGGTGTTGCTGCTGTTCTTGTCATCCTCAAATCTCTCTCCACATACTCTCTCTTCATTTCTCTCTCTTCAGTACCTGTGCTGGAGGACAAGCTACCTGGGGAGCTTGCAGGAGGGGGTGCATAAAAGGGGGAGAGGACATTTGCCTGACGGGTGGGAGTGGTGAGAGGGGAGTTCCCAGAGACAGGGCTGGAAAAACCAGCAGGCCAGAAAAGGAAGGGCTTTGAACGCCAAGCTGAGTTGGGGCTTTATCCAGCAGGCACAGAGGAGCCATTGAAAGGCTTTAAGTAGTCCCAGGCCTGGTCCGATTTGCATATTTAAAAACCTGACCTCTCAGAAGTGTACAGGATCTTCAGCGAGGCTGAGGCTGAGCCGGAGAGGAGATTGAACATTCAAGAGATGTTCAGTAGTCAGACTGACAGGATTTGGGTACTGGTTGGTTTGCAGAGGTAACTGGCAGGAGGAGGGAGGGATAATTCTCAGATTTCCAGCTGAAGTCACTGGGCAGTGCTGTTTGCTGAGATGGGGGAACACCAAACAAGGAGCCGGTTTCAGAGCATGGGGTGGGGAGGCGGGAGGAAATAAGTGTCTCTTGTGGACCTAAAGAGTTTAAGATGCCTATAAATGTTCAAGAGTGGACTAGTGTATCTGGAGCTCAGGAGAATGAAAAAAAAGGAGATGAGGGCCACAGACAGGATTCTGGGAAGCAATACGTAGGTCAAGGACTGAGGACAACAGGGTGTCACAAAAGCTTACGGAAGAGTATGATTTCAGGAGGGACTGGTCCATAGTGTCAGAAGCTTTGAAGAAATGAAATGGCACGCAGCTGGAGGAGTGGAGGCAGGTTTGAGAGGCTGGAGGGGGGTGGGGCAAGGGGCCTGAGATGCCTGGCTGAGAGCTGGGGCTCTTGTGTGGCCTATTTGGGCCCCTCTAGAATTTGTGGCAGGGCAGGCCGAATTCAGGTCCTTGGGAAGGGAAGGCAGGGAAGAAACCCATCAGCCTTGCTTCAGAAGATAATACAAATTCAGCCCACCTACTTCACCTCATTCGTCACTGGAGGCAGGCCAGGGGAGAACTGGAGTCGCAGCCTGAGAAACAGAGGGCAGCCATCAGGGGGACCAGTTAGATGGCTGTGAGCCAGTGGGGCAGCTGACAGCCCTCGCCCTGCGGGGTGGAGGGTGTGAACAGAGGCTGCTGGACTAGGGTAACCCTTCTTCCCGGTCCCCTAGAGTGCTTGGGAGCTGAGGGCAGGCTGGCTTACAAGCTGTTCCGTGACCTGTTCGCAAACTACACAAGTGCCCTGAGACCTGTGGCGGACACAGACCAGGCTCTGAACGTGACCCTGGAGGTGACATTGTCCCAGATCATTGACATGGTATGTTGTAGTGGTTGTACAACTGTGCAGTGTGCTAGTGACAGTGTCAGGGAATTTGGGGCGGGAGACTGGTATTATTCACCAAACAATTCTCTTCTGTAAACATTAATATTAATAGTAACAGCTACTGATCTGGATACTGCTGGGTGCCCACAGTGTGCCCATGGTGTGCCCTTGGTGTGCCTAATCCTTTGCACACTTAAATCCCTGCCCAGCAGGGATCATTGCCCCTGTAACTGCTAAAGAAACTGGGGTCCGGAGAAGGACCTGCCAAGGTCACAACAAGGCCTGGGTGGGAACTGGACTGTCTGGGCAAAGTGGGTTTGTGGGTACTGACCAGAGCTCTGTAGGTGAGTGTGCACACACACGGGAGGATATACTCATACATGTGTCCACATCTGTGCCCACTCCCTGCCCCCAACTAGGATGAACGCAACCAGGTGTTGACCCTGTACCTGTGGATCCGACAGGAATGGACAGATGCCCACCTACGATGGGACCCCAATGACTACGGTGGCCTGGATGCCATCCGCATCCCCAGCAGTCTCGTGTGGCGGCCAGACATCGTGCTCTACAACAAGTACTGCCTGCCTGGGCCCCTGCCCTCTCCTAGCCCTCTCTAGAGCTGCCCTTGGCTCTGGGTATGCCCTTATCCCCCGCCCCCCATGCCTCACCGCACACCCCCCTGTGCCCCCCACCCCCCCGCCGCTGAGCCAATTGCTATGCTGCCCCGGAAGCTGTCCCACAGGACCCTTCTAATTTGGCAGAATGGTGTTGGCTGCATGGCACAGTGGGGCTTCCTGACAGCCTGGATACCACAGCTCATGGCAAGGGCCTGCTGGGGGGCCAGCCCCTTCACAGCCCCTCCATGCACCGCCACTTCAGGCTATCAAGAAGCGGCCCAGGCCGAATGTCTCCTAGGAACCCCCTGTGCAGTCCAGGGCCAGCTTTGTGTCTCTCAGAGAGGGTTCTGGGGCACAGCTGTCTCTCTATGGCACACCAGCCTTCCAGGCTGGTTCTGAGTCTCAGGGTTCCCCTAAGGCCTGCCTGGGGCCCAATGGAGCAACCCCTTATGCCACCTGAGCCAGATCTGTGTTTCCCAGACAACACATGGCTCTGTATAGTTCCTCCCATCTTTTCGACAGGAAAGCCCGAGCCCAGGCTGGTACTGGGAGGGCACTGGGACCGTCTACACTTCAGCAGATGACACCCAAGGGAAGGCATTGCGCTGCTAGGTGCCAACATCTGAAGGGGGCTTTTTTATGCTGCCCAGGGCTAGATCAGTATCCTCTCTGGGCTCTTCAGGCACTGCCCCTCGTAGGCCTCAAAGAGCACAGAGGGCCCTCCCAGGGCACACTCCACCCTCCCTGCAGAGGCATGGTGGCTTTGGGCCCCTGCAGTCACAGAGCCCCTCCTACCCCGGAGCATCCTCGGGCTGCTGCCTCAGCGAGTCCCACCCTCCCGCAGGGCAGACGCACAGCCCTCGGCCTCGGCCAGCACCAACGTAGTTCTGCGACACGACGGTGCGGTGCGCTGGGACGCGCCGGCCATCACGCGCAGCTCGTGCCGCGTGGACGTGTCGGCCTTCCCGTTCGACTCGCAGCGCTGCGGCCTGACGTTCGGCTCATGGACACACGGCGGGCACCAGCTGGACGTGCGGCCTCGCGGCGACAGCGCCAGCCTGGCCGACTTCGTGGAAAACGTGGAGTGGCGCGTGCTGGGCATGCCGGCGCGGCGGCGCGTGCTCACCTACGGCTGCTGCTCCGAGCCCTACCCGGACGTGACCTTCACGCTGCTGCTCCGCCGCCGCGCCGCCGCGTACGTGTGCAACCTGCTGCTGCCCTGCGTGCTCATCTCGCTGCTCGCACCGCTCGCCTTCCACCTGCCTGCGGACTCGGGCGAGAAGGTGTCACTCGGCGTCACCGTGCTGCTGGCTCTCACTGTCTTCCAGCTGATCCTGGCCGAGAGCATGCCACCGGCCGAGAGCGTGCCGCTCATTGGTGAGTAGGTGAGGGACCGCATGCGGGGGGAGGACGGGTTGGGGGGCTTAGGGAATTTGGGGGAGAGCCTGTCACCTCCCAGAGACTGGCCCCTGGCCCACCCGGTCTATTGCTTGCAGGTCCCCACCGATGCAGGGGTGGGGCCTGGGTCGCCACGGTGGCTCCCGCTTCAGTGTGTAAGGGGGTTGTCCTGACAGCATGCCTCGTTCTGAGACTAGGTAAAAGGAATAGGCCCCTTCCAGGGAGAGTGCCCTGCCCTTACTGGAAGGGGGAGCGGGAAGAGAAGGTGTTTTTCAAAGAATTGATAGAGGAAGGTCACTGTCTCCAAGGTTGTTAATTATAGGCAAAATGCATTAAGTACTCAACTGTGTGCCAGGTACGCCTAAGCACTTGACATCTATTAACTCAGGGGAGCATTACCACAGACCTAGGAGGTAGGTTCTGTTGTAATCCCAGTTGTGCTGAAAGGATCAGTCACTTGCCCCATGCCATGGCACACCATTTGAGAGGGTGACTTGTTGTGGGTAAATGCAGCCTCCAGCAGTAACGGGCAAAATAGCAAGTAGGTATTGGAATGGCCAAAAAACCCACTATGTCTTTTCTGTAATGTAAGACATTTTTCATTTTGACCAATAACTTTATTGGTTTGGATATTTTGAGTATGTCGGCTGTCTCCTGCTATTCGTTTCTAGTGGGCAGAGGCCAGGGCTGCTGCTAAACATCTTCCAGTGTATAAGACAACCCCACAACAAAGAATTATTTGGCCAAAATATCAATAGTACCAAGAAAATTCATAAATCACTTTTGACACATTCCATCAGTCACAGCACCTTCTCCATACACGGCACAAATCTTTTTTTTGTTTTTGCATTTCAGTTGTGTTTTTACCATTCTTGAAATAATAAAACAATACACTGAAAATGTTGTGTATTTTCTTCCATCTTCAGTATTAAAATGGCTGCACAAAAATTCACCAATTTTGATGTTTTTTTAAATGCACGCTGATATGACAGTTGTCACAATACAATCTAACAAAATTGTTTCAAATGAAGTTAAAAACATGTAAGCACTGCTAGAGCCATCGTATGGAAGAAAACAATGGACTTTTTGGCCAACCCAATAGCTTCTGAGAACCCACTTGTGGAAATGCAGACTGGGAGGACCTTGGCCTCTTACTTCCTTCTTTCATTCATTGGGCTGGGAGGGTCCTGAGAGCCTCATGGTGGGTTTCTGTTTATGCTGAGGTGGCCGGGAAGCTCATGCCCTCTGAGTTCCTGGCCCCAGCTCACTCTCTCTCTTGCAGGGAAGTACTACATGGCCACCATGACCATGGTCACCTTCTCCACGGCGCTCACAATCCTTATCATGAACTTGCATTACTGTGGTCCCAGTGCCCGCCCAGTACCAGCCTGGGCTCGGGCCTTCCTACTGGGACACCTGGCACGGAGTCTGTGTGTGCGGGAACGAGGGGAACCCTGTGGGCAGTCTAGACGGCCTGAGCCACCTCCCAGTCCCCAGCCTCCTGAGGGAAGGGCTGGCCCCCCAGCAGGCCCTTGCCATGAGCCCCGGTGTCTCTGCCATCAGGAAGCCCTGCTTCACCACGTAGCCACCATTGCCAACACCTTCCGCAGCCACCGGGCTGCCCAGCACCGCCATGAGGACTGGAAACGCCTGGCCCGCGTGATGGACCGCTTCTTCCTGGGCATCTTCTTCTCCATGGCCCTGGTTATGAGCCTCCTGGTGCTGGTGCAGGCCCTGTGAGTCCCAGGGGTCTGCTGCAGCCTCAGCAATTGCAGACAGGGATGGAAAGGCCAGCTGGTTGTTGGTCCTCAGAGAGACCACCCAATCTCTCCCCACTGTGCCTAAGAGCCTAGGACAGCCTTTCTCAGCATTAGCTCTGCTGACTTCTCCGACCACGAGGGAGCACTTGTTGTCTGTGTATCCGGATCTCTAAGGAAAACGTAGAGCTTGCCACTCCCCTGATTTCCTGCAGAGGAGAAACTCTAAGAAGAGTCGAAATCAAAGTGCAGTCCTTGGCGGGCAGAATTGAACTTCCATGATGAGTGTTAGAGCTTTCAGTAGGGAGAATACAGGGTATATGAGAAACAGAGCTGCCACATTTCCTGCCTTATATTCCTTCTTCAGTGGCTGCTGTAATAGAGACTTGGTCTTGCCTGCTGCTGCCTAGGGGCTCAGGGAAGGGGACTGGGGATTCAGATTCATGATCCAGTTTCCAGAGCAGGGGGCCACACAAGGATTTGGCCCTAAAGCCCCAACTCATCATAAAGTAAGTGTGTGCCTGGCACCTTCTCAATGTCCTGTCTTACCTTTGGGGCCCGTGGTGGTGGGAGATGGGGATCCAGGCTCGTCTCTATAGAAACAGGAACCTTAGGACTCATGGATTAGAACAGGAATTACATCTTTGCTCACAAGAAAATGAGGGATTGGACCAAGACCCTGGGAGGCTACCTTAAGCGCCCTGCTATTGCTCCTGCTCTCTTCCCTCGGGGGTTAGCTTCAGTCCACCTCATTTCCACTGAGGTTCAGAGAACTTGAAACTGTCCAAGGTAGGGGCGGTGCAGAACCAGCTGTTCACAAGGTATATGTTTCTTTCTGACTTTCGCTTGTTTCCCAGCACCACCTCTTTGCCTCAGACCCAGCCCCTGCCCTCAGGAACCTCACAGTCCGACAGGGGCTGCAGACGTGGACATGTGGTGTAGAGAAGCCCCGGGGACCTGTGGGAGCACAGGCAGCACCCTAGCCCAGTAGCGTCAGAGAGGTCAGAGAAAGCTTCCGGGAGGAGTTCATAGGAGGTTGCCAGTTGCACGTGTGAGGCATTTGAGTTACACCAGCAAGTACCATGGCCAAGTGCTTTCCTCCCCAAGTACTCCCACCCCCAAGCAAGTTTAACCTTCCATCTCTGAGTGAGTTGTTGGCTGTCCCAGAGCGCCCCCCACCCCCACCTTCGCTACCTCACTCCTAGAACACTGGATAAAGTTCAGGCCCAAAATTCTTTTTCTCCACCGTCAGGCCTGGCAGCTGCCAGAGAAGGTCCCAGAGTTCCCTGCAGGAGGCGTTTCTATGGATCCTGGCTACACTTAAAGCACACATGTGGCCGACATCTCATGCTGGGCAGAGGTGGCAGGCAGGGCTGTTCAGAGTCTGATGGGTCAGAGGAGGCCCGAGCTCTCTGGAAAGGCTCCCCCAACAAGGAACCACAGCAGCAGTTGAAGGGACCAGACTGTAGAAAGGGGACCTTGACCCATGGCTGCAGGGAAACAGAGGCAAAGAAAAAGATTTAGAGATGAAGGGAGTTACACAAAGAAACAATGCAGAGAAACAAGCAGAGCGAGCTGGAAACACTGGTGCATACAGTGCGACTGTAGACAGAGAGGAAGAGCAAGAATTTAGGGAGGTTGGTAGAAGATACTTGCAAACAGCAGTTCCAACAAGGGGTTAATATCCAAAATATATAAAGAACTCATACAACTCAACACCAAACAAACAACCAATCCATTTAAAAAATGGACAGAGGACTTGAACAGACACTTCTCCAAGAATACATACAAATGGCCAAAGATATATGAGAAAATGCTCAACTTCACTAGCTTGTAGGGGAATGCAAATCAAAACTACAATGAGATAACACCTCACACCTGTTAGAATGGCTGTTCTCAACAAGACAAGTAATAACACGTGCTGGAGAGGTGGAGAAAAACCAACCCCCATTCTCTGCTGGTGGGAATGTAAACTGGTACAGACACTACGGAAAACAGTATGGAGTTTCCTCAAGAAATTAAAATAGTTACCATATGGCTCAGCAGTCCCTCTTCTGGGTATTCACCCAAGAAATTGGAAAACATTTACTTGTAAAGATATATGCACCCCTATGTTTATTGCACCATTTTTCACGGTGGTCAAGACAGGGAGACAACCAAAGTGTCCTTCGATAGGTGACTGGGCAGAGAGGAGGTGGTACGTATATACAATGGGATGCCACTCAGCATAAAAAAAGATGAAATATTGCCATTTGTAACAACATGGATGGACCTTGAAAATTATCATGCTAACTGAAATCAGAAAAATCTAAGAATCATGTGATTTCACTCACAGAGAGAGAACTGAAAGTATCAAACAAACAATAAAAACAAGCAAACAAAAACTCATAGACACAGCAGTATGGTGGTCACGAGAGGGAAGCAGGTTGGGGAGCAGTACAGGGTAAAGGGAGCCAAATACATGGTGACGGAAGATGATTTGGCTGGTAGGCACGCAATGCAATACACAGATCATGTATCATAGAAGTGTACACTTGAAACCTATATAATCTTATTAACCAATGTCACCCCAATACATTTAATTTTTAAAAAAAGAATTTAGGGAGGAACATAAACAGAGATGAAGAGACCAGGAGATACCAGAGGTTATCAGATCTATCCTCCTGCCTCCTGTGGACACACATGGGGCAACACAGGGTGGGAAGAAACATGGGCAGAGATCTGGATGGGACGAGTGAGGCTCGTCTTGATCCCTGTGCCCAAACCCTGGCAGGGGAGATTCTGGTGGGCTAGGGGTCGGGAGATCGTACGCTCTTCTAGTGCATGAAACCATCAAAACTCCAAGAAGCAGGTTGGAAGCTGGAGACCTGGCTTCTGGTCCTGGCTCTGCCACTAACTCATTCTGTCACCTTGGGACAGTCACTTCCATCTCCGGGTATTACCTTACTATATAATGAGAGTAATACTCCCTGTTCCGCCTCCTTCCAATAGGTTATTGTGCAACAAGGGATAAAATGAGATGGCATCTGGGGAGGTGGAGGCCAGCCTGGAATGGTGGTTTAGAGCTTAGGGTCAGGCGTCTGGACCCCAGTCCTCCCTAGCTGCGTGCTGTGGGGCTGTTGCTTCACCTCTCTGTGCCTTAGTTCCCTCATTTGTAGAACTGGGGTGATGACGGGAACGACACCGCTGGGCTGTGGTAAGGGTCCACGGCATGGTACGTCGTGGAGGATGCTGAGGACACAGTGCAGGCTGGGGCTCCTCGGCCACTGTTCCCAGAGCCCACAGGGAGCGCGGAGGGACCCACGAGGAGGGGCAGCTGTGGTTCCTTCCTCGGGAATGGCCTGTTTCAGTAGGTTCCCCTGGAAAAGCCTGTTCCCAACTAGAGAAGTGATGGCCCAAGTAGGCCCTGGCACAGCAGGTATTGGAGGGAAGAGAAGTCGTGGCTGAAAGTGACCTGGGGATCATCTAGTCCAGTTGGCTTATTATACAGACAGAGAAGCTGAGGCCCAGAGAGGGAATAATTGGTCACAAAGAGAGTTAGGACAGAGCCTGGATTGGGGCCCAGGTCTGTAAGACTTGAGGTCTGGCCTCCTCCTTGGAAGGTGGTCTGAGAGAGTGCTGAGGTCAGTAACAGCACAGAGGGTTGTCCAGGTGAAGGAGGAGGAGGCCTGGGGAGGACCACGTGGGACCAGCACCCCCGCCCTGCCATCACCTCTGTGCAACCTGGATCTCTCTGGGGCCTGACCAGCCGTCTCCTATGAGGCAGGGGGTGCCCCAGAAAGGGAGGCCCGACCACTGCCCCATACATGTAAATGCAACCTCTGGGCGAGGTTAGCAATCCCTGCAGGTGTCTGCTTTAGAGGGTTTACTTTTTCTTAATTGAAAAAGAGTTGTTTTCCTTCTAAGGGGGACATCCAGGTGAGGGGTCCAAGCCCAGAGCAGCCTCCTCATCCCCAGTGGGAGCCCCTGTCCCACAGGCCTGCAGCCCTTACCCGAGTTTTCCAGACGGCAGGGCCTGGACTTGCACTGCTTGTCTGTGGAGAAGAAATAGAAAAGAATCAAAGGCTTAAAAGCTCTCAGGATGGAAAGCTGTGGCCCACCCTTGACTTGCTCTAGCAAAGCTGGTACCTTTTCCTCCTGTTTTGCTTCCTTATGGTGAGACCTCCCTTGCCTGGGTTTGACTTGATACCTGAGCGGCTGCGCCAGAGGGAGCCAGCCCTCAAAACCAGGGCCTGTTCCAGGGACCCCTCGTGCTCCCCTCGCCTCTCTGCCACACTCACCTCTGGCTCTCCAAGCCTGCCCCAGCCTAGGACAGGCTAGTGTGTGTTCTTTGCATGTCTCTCTCACTTTTCTCTCAACTCACGTGTGCTCGTGGTGCTCTCCAAGGTGGAAACTGAAGCCACGTGGGGCATTTCTGCCCGTTAGATATGGTCCACAGCTCCAGCAAACAGTCTGCCTCTACCTATGAAAACTGGGCTTGGCCAACCCTGGGCATTACTCAGCCAGAACCAGTGGTCCACAGCCCCAACGGGTTAGGAATCTGGGCCCATCCTCAGGATTTCTCCTTTGGCTTGTCCTGGGGGACGGACAGGAAGAGTGTCCGAGACCTGCCACAGCCTGAACTGGAACTTAGGGGCACAGCAGCCATCTGCGGTCTCCCCACCCTCACCCGGCACACACAACAACACAGGATTTCTGCTGACAATAAACACTGTCCTCTTGGAAACAGAGGTTGGGGTTCCTGTCGTTTCTGGCCAGTACGATCTGTGTGCCAGTACCGTAGCTAGAAATTAATTCCCTTCCAGCTTCCAGCCAGGAAAAAGCCTGACCAGGTCTGTTTGGCCCTCAAATGGCCAAAGACTGCTACCTTGGTCAGGAAACCCTCTTCAGCCTCCCAGCGGGCTAGTGACCAGCTCTGGCTCAGACACTGCCAGGGTCAAGAAGCTCCCTACCTCAGAATGTTCTGCTTCCCCTTAGATGGAAGGATGGATGGGTGGCGGACAGGACTGTGCCCCTCGCTGTTGGTTTGTTTTACATGCTTCTGTATGTATCCCCTGAGGACAGGGTAAGAAGCCCACCCTCTGCCCAGGGGCTCAGCCACATGCCCCTCTCACCTTTGATGTACTCGCAGTTGTATGTGCTGTGCTCGCCCAGGGACCGGAGGTAGATGCGGGTGGGGCCGTGGGCGGGTCTGCTGGAGTTGATCACCTGGAAGGTCTCAAAGGGGGGGATCAGCACCTCCTCCTCCTCAGGGAAGAAGGAGTAGCCCCTGATAGGGACCCCGAGACAGGTCCAGATGCCAAAGAAGGTTTCCTTACCAAAATTCTGGGCAGTGGCATTTTGCAGAGATGCTGAGGCAAAGCCCCCCAGCCGGACGGTGGCCCCAGGCCCCGCTGGCCGGAAGCGCAGGCCTTGCACCCCTCGAAACACCTGGCGGCACCGGGGGGAACGCTGGGCCTTGCTCAGCAGCTGTAGGGCCTCAGTCAGCAGGAAATGGAACGTCTTGAAGGGGAAGTGTTGGAGGTAATGGGCTCGGGTGCGGCCTGCCTCGCGCAGGGCCGCATTGAACTCCTTGAACAGGGGGCTGTTGGCTGTGTAGGCCAGGAGGGCCACCCCATGCTCATCCCGGAAGCCGGGGGGTGGGGGTGGGGGCGGGGGTGGTGGTCCCCAAGCTCGGCGCTCTTGCCATTGGAGGCTTCCCAGCACCCAGCCGTCAGCGTACACCTTGTTGGCCTGGAACTCCGTGCGGTTGAGATCTGGGAGAGCAGCGGTCATGGCTGCTGCACAGCCAGCATATTGGTCATCAAAGGAAGTTGGGGCCATGTCCAGGGGCCGTTCTTGAGAGAAGAGTTGTCGTCGTGTGATGGGGTGGCTCTGGGCCTGAGGGAGAGGGAGCGGCAAGGACCAAGAGGATGGGCCCTAGGAGTATGGGTGTCCATCCAGCTTTCCCCTCCGCTGAGCTAAAGAAAACACTCTAAGGGCCCCAAACACACCTGGAGGGGAAGTGAGCTTGGGAACTACTAACTGCAAACTCCCCGAGACTGGGGTTTGGGACTGCCCCCTCAGGCTGAGCGAGCCCCAAGGGAAGCATCAAGCATTCTCTCTTCCCTCTTGTTGTTCTTCCCAGAGTTCAGAAGAAGCTGAGAGCTCAGCTCCCTGCTGGCATGGGGACCGCAGAGGATGATCATACCTGAAGTGCTCCCATGAGGGCCACGGACACAAGCAGCAGAGACATCATAACAGGAGTCTGCATGTTGGAGTTGACCTTGGGTAAGTTACTGTCTCTTTTTGGGTCTCAGTTTCCTTATCTGGAAAATGGGAATGTTAGCCTATACCGTTTACTAAACATTCATTGACACCTAGTCCGTGCCATTCCCAGTGCCTGGCACAGAGTCACAGCATAGAAAAACAGAGGCTCAGGAGAGGACCCGTCTTGCTGCGAGCAACATGGGAGACTTCCTGGAGGGGGTGACATGTGAACAGGGACTTGCAAGATGAATAGGAGAATAAGGCTTCAGTCAGTGGAGAGGAGAGAAAAGTTTGGCATTTGGGGTGGGGAAAGGAGTTTGGGGCAGCAAGAATGAGAAGAGCAAAGGTACTGAAGGTAGGAACTCTCAGGATGGAAAGAGTAAGAGACATTTTGTCCAGTGTGGCAGCACTTGCAGTGTGGGAATGTCAGAAAGACTGGGGCCAATCCTGAAGGAGCATGATCGCAATGGCAAGGGGCCTGGGCTTCACCTGGGGACGTGAGGCTGAAACGGGGTGGGCCAGGAGTGTGGTTGGCTGCTGGAGCCACAGCAGGGCTCCGGGGACAGGCCTAAGCAGGGCCTGGGGAGCCAGAGGTCCTCGCTGCCCCCTCCAGTCCTGCTGAGAGCTGAGCCCCTCTCCCCGAGCCCTCAGTTGCTTCTCAGGCAGAGACAGATGTAGATCCCCAGGTGGGGAGGAAAGGGGGACTCAGAGAGGGGGAGAGGACAGAGGGTACTTGCTTCCCCAAGGAAAGCTGGAGGGAACCACAGCCTCCTGCGCCCTGTGGGTGGGCACGCTGGGGGCCTGAAGTAGCGCCAAGAATAAGGCGTCCCAGCTTTGGGTCAGAACTGGAACACACAGTTTCTAAGCCAGTGCTGCTGCTCTCTTCTGTTTACTTTATTACAAAGTAGTACACGCTTGTTGTGAAAAAAAAAATGTGTAAGTGGAACACAGAATCTAAGTTCTCTTTTCCTCTTTCTCCCCCCCCCCCCCCGCCCCGCACTCCCCTTCTCTCTCTTATCCAGGCCTGCCAGCAGGGAGAGGGGTGACCTGTGATAAAGGTGCCTACCCTGCAGGACCTTTTCCTATGCACATACAAATAACATAATTGTAAATATACCTACATAGGTTTATACATACATTTTAATATATTTAAATATACATACACAGTTCTCTGCTTACAGCATATTTTTGTTATTTTGTCTTTTTTCTCCCCCAAATAAAACAGAACATGCTTACACATATACATTCTATAACCTTATAAATATATCACCGACTTCTTCCATGTTGTACATATATATCTACCTCGTTCGTTATAATGGCATCATAGTATTTGATGGTATAGTTGAACAATAACTTACTCATTTCCTTATTAATGTTCACATGTTTTTCCCTAATTTTTTATATTACCCATAACATTGTATGAGTATCCATGTATTAAATACTTGTCTACTTGTGTGCATATTTTTATAGGACAGGTATCAAGAAGTAAAATGATTTTTAAAAGATATGAATATTGTGTATTTTGATAGGCCAGTGCCTATCCAAATTGCCATCCAAAAGGTACCACTTTGCCCCCCCACCAACAATGAGTAAGAATGTCTTTTTCTCCACATCTATGCCAACACTGGATATAATTTTTTTCTTTAAATTTCATTTAACTTAATCATAACTTTAATTTTTAATATTTCAAAGTTTTAATTTTATTGAAGGTAGTACATTTTTATTGTTCAAAATTTTAATAGTCCAACAGGCATATGGTGAAACATGTTTTTCTCACTAACTCCCCAGTCCCAACCTCATCTCCGAGGGGAGGCCGGTGTGCCGTGTCTTGTGTATCCTTGCAGAGACATGCTGTGCACACACAAGCAAATTCACAGGCATTTCTGCCTTCCTTCTTTTGCACCAATAGTGATACAGTCAGGGGTTCTTTGTCTTTGGGAATCTCATGAAAGCTGAAACCCATTCTCAGAAAACAGATACCTGCACCTTCACACAAACAGTACATTGATTTCAGGTAGCTGGGCCTCTGCCACCGTCTTTCTCAGGTTAAGCATCCCTGCTTTGTCCATCCCCTCTGGCTCTTGTGGGGAGAGCCTAAGCTTTGATAGTTCAGTGACTCTAGGACACTGGGATTCTATGTGTCTATAATTTTATGAATCTCCATATCTAAGATTCTATATATTGCCAATTTAAATTGAGGCATGAGCTTCTGCAGGCAATGGAGTTAGTGGCAATTTTTATCAAATTCCATATGTCTGCCCCAAACTGAATTCATTGTCTTCTCTCCATAAACAAAAAATTTTTGAGCATCTGTAATATATCAGGCACTGAGGATACAACTATGAACAGCAGCAACAACAAACCCCACACCCCTGCTTCTTTAAGTTCTTTTGAGGTAGAGGTGGATGTGGAGTGAATAATTTCAAGTAGCATGTGATACATGTTACAAAAGGAATCAAAAGAGCCTAACAGAAACAAATTTGTACCAGGAGTGGAGTTTAAATGAGGAGTGGACTAGATGAGGCACAGTGTATACAGAATTGAAAACAGCATCACGGTGTGGCGTAAAGCAAGAGACACTGCTCCCTAATTCCAGGACGGAATGCTAACAGGCAGGCTATGTGGCAGCAAAATCTACTTGAACTCTTGTCTGTGGTCTCTTGGAATCCACCCAAGAAACTTGAGCTCCTATAATAGATCCTCTCTTTCTTGTGGAGAACCCAGCCCAGTGGCTCATGCGGGGCTTACCCCTAGGGGGGGAACGCGAGAGCCAAAACTGGTACTCGACTACCCTGGCCATTGTGATTGGCTCATGAACAGACACATGACCAAAGCAAGGCCAATCAGAGTCTCTCAGGACAGAATCCAACCTCCACTAGCATTTAAGGCCCTCTGTGACCCAGCCCTCCTGGACCTATTTAGCCTCCTGCCCTACTACTCCTGCTTGGCTTCTACAGCACAGAACAAAGTTCCAGGCAAGCCTTCCTTGTTTCCCTCCCTGTGGCTCTGCACACATAGCCATCTGCTGGGGGTGCCCTTCTTTTGCTATTCACTCGTCCAGGCTTAGCTCACGGGTCACCTTCTCCAGGAAGCCCTCTGACTCCTCTGGATCCTGTGCTTTCCTGTCAGTGTCCTGATTGTACGGTGCTGCCTTTATGTGTCTGTCTCCCCTCCTGGCTTGTGAGTTCCTTGAGGGCAGGGACCAGGTATGATCCATTCTGTGTCCCCAGAGTTCAGCCCAAGGCCAGACCCAGGTGAGGCCTCCTAGAATGTTTGCTGAGAATCTGAGAGGCTTTCTGCGTACAACTAACAATGTAGACCACTGCAAGCAGGTGGATTGATGACTTTGGTGACCAATTTTGGGAAGGAATTGGAGTGGGGGCCAGAGGAATGGGGAGAGCATGGGCATTGAGGAAGTGGTGGCACCAGGCAACCCCTTTTCATATCCCAGGTGCCCTTCTGTCCTCCTCTGCTCAAGCTACTTCCTGTCAGTTTCCCTTATTCAGACCCTCATTGAACATTCTTTTCTGGGGATGTGACTTCAAATCTTTTCCCAGGAATCTCCTAATTTCCCAGTAGTCCCAAACCTCTCTATCAAAGTTGCTGTGGTCTGAATGTTTGTGTCCCCCCAAAATTCAAATGTTGGAGTCCTAATGTCTGTATTATGGTGTTAGAAGGTGGAGCCTTTGGGAGGTGATTAGTTTCTGAGGGTGGAGCCTACTTGAATGAGATTAGTGTTCTAATAAAAGAGACCCCCAGAGCTCTCTTCTACCATGTGAGCGAGTGAGAAGGTAACGGCTGCAATCCAGGGAAGGAGCCTTCATCCGACCATGCTAGTGCCCTGACCTTGGACGTTCAGCCTCCAGAAATATGAGAAACAGACAAGATAAAAGATTCCCTAAAACTTGTCCTAGTGATTCCTAAAATTCCACCCTTAATACCTCAAATTTCCCCTAAAAAAAACTTCTTCCCTGCCCAGTGCTGGGGAGGAGGGTGGTGTGCCCCTTACCTAGGCCTTCTCCAGGGCAGGAAAGCTGGTGTTGGGCTCCTGTGATGGCCACCAGGGGAGGGGGAGGTCAGGTTCCTCCTTTATATTGTACCTCCGCCACACAGCTGCTCAGAAATGTGACACTCCCCCACCTATTTCTGGATGTCTCCTCAGGGCTCAGGAACGCTGGCCTCTGCCCAGTCTGCCCCGGGCCAGTGGTCTTCCTATAAAAAAGGGAATCCCTAAAGCCAGAGACAAGGTGGACTAAGGCATGGAGGTCCTGTGTTCAGCACCCCTGGCCCCAGAGAATGTCTCCTTATACTTGTTCCTTTCATGTGAGCACGGAGATTCCCTAAGGTGCAAGGAAAGACTCCCAGATCAAGAAGGCTGGGTCTGGGTCCCAGCTCCAGCACTGAGTTGCCATGTAACCTTGAAGGATTTTCTGCCTCACACTGGACTCCTGTTCAATGACTGGATTTGACGCCGTTCCTTGAGGCCTTTCTTGGGGTTTCAAGTCTTGGGAGAGGACAAACAACTGCCCAAAGCCTAGAGGGTGGAGAGAGAACAAAGCCATGATCCCAGTGTGTCTGGTCGCAGGAACTGTCATCAGCAGGCCTTCCTGTCCCAGACAGTATCTTCTGTTCCAGCAACTGCAAATGCTCAAGCCGTCCAGGCAGGCAGGATGTGTAAGCAGATGCTGCTTTTCACAGTAGCGGGGAACAGCAGAGTGGTTCCTTATTTTCTAATGTGGGCGATGTAGGGGGTTGCCAGTCCCTTTGCAAAGGGGCAGAAGGATTTATCTTGAAGCTGTTTGCCTGTCAAGTACTCTTGTTTCAGGGGGTGCCAGTCTTTCCACTTCCCACCTGCCCCCCAAGCCCAGACACAGAGTTTATCTTCTTTTTTGGTGTATAGGAAGGCCCTCTGGAGAAAGCAGGATTCTAGATGGAGGGAATTTTTTATTTGGCTGGCAATCTGAGGGGATAGGGGAACAGGGATGGGGCTAAACTAATGAGCCAGACCGGGATGGAGGCCTGGGGTAAATCCAAGCTCCGTGCCTACCTCAGCCGCAGCAGGAAGCGGGCAGCATCTCTTAAATCTTGACATTCAGGACCGTCCACCTCCTCTGGCCATTCTGGGGGAGCACCCCTCCCACCCCTAGAGGCTCAGGCCCTCAGAAAGCTCTTCTCAGAGCTGCTTACTGATTCCTTCTCCCATTACCTCTGACTGGGCGTCCAAAACTCAGAGCCAGGTTATTTATAGACAAGCCCACAGAAAGGGAGGGGAAGGGCCAGTGTTTATAAACACCAGGTCACCTGAATCTGAGAGGTCGAGGGAGAGGGTCTGGGAGGGGGCCGGCGGGCCCATGAGGATCTGGAACAGCGAGCTCAGCGCCTGGTCCAAACCTACTGACAGGGAAATGGGGTGAGGAGAGGAGGGAGGGGGTCGGCGCCGCTCAGATGTTGCGCCACACGTGACCCAATGAGGGGGCCGTATGCAAATTTAATGCAAATCAGCAAGGACACAGTGGTGACCTCTTGGCCGGTGGGACCCTCGTTGGGGTCCCAGGCCTAGTGGTCTGGGGGCCAGGTCAGGGCCCCCTGAGGGAGAGGGCAAGTCTCACCAGCTCCCTCTCCCAACCCTGGACTTGCCCGGAGCTAAAGAGAGTGCTGGAGAAAGAACTGGAAATTTGGGGAGGGGAGTCAGCCGCTCAGCCCCTTCCTCGCCACTCCTACTCCCTCCACCACAGTGTTTGTTGTCGGGGAAGAGAGGTGTTGGGTTACGCCGCGGGGGCTATAGTTAGATGTGGGACTTTGCTGGTCGGCGGGACTCCGGGAACAGGCTGTGCTCGTCCAGACACCCACCGGCGGAACCAAACTTTCCAGCTCTCGATCTCCGGCCTCCGTGATCTCCAGGTGCGTGCCAGGCCCACACCCCCTCCCTTCTCCAGGTGGAGCTAAATCACCTTCACCACCGCAAAAAGCTCTGGCAGAAGGCACTGAGCTTAGGGGCATCTGGGAGTCAGGGGAGCGGAGACTTGGGGTTCTGCTTGTGCTGGGAGGCGGAGACGGTAACACCCAAGGTCCGCCCACTCCCTTAGGCCCGCCCTGGGCCCCACCCACGCCTGAGCCCGGGGACCTGGACCATCTTCTTCACACCACAGAAGGGGTGTGGGTCTCTTCCAACAGCCCATTGAAGCCAAGAATCCACCGTTGCCACTGGTCCCACCTACATCACGATCTCGCCCTCCTGGCGCCCCCAGGGATGAGGCTGACTGCTCTGCTGCTCATCCTCAGCTGCCTTGGCCTTCATACCTTCTGGCAGGTAACTGGGGGAACCATCCCCTCCCACAAAGGAAAGAATTGGGAGGCAGGCTCCTCAAAAATCTCTCCCAGGGACTCTTCTTTGGGACCCCAGTCCTCTTAATCCTCTCCCTCTCTGCAACCTTCCTCCCTGAAGAGAGCCGCAAGTTCCCATTTCCTCTCCCAGATCCCAGAACCCGCATCTTCACTGACTGACCGCCCTGTGGTCCTCCTTCCTGCGTATCATCCCTGCCTAGGGACTGCCGCCCACTTCCTCATGAGCAGCTCCCGTCTGCCGCCGCAGGCTCAGCCTGGGCTGACTGGGTTGGGCCCCGCGTATTGCCCTCCTGCGGCCCCTCCCCTAGCAGGGCTCCTCCCCACACCCCACCCCAGGCTGAGGGATGAGGGCTTCTAAATCAGAGGACTCAGGAGTCTCAGAGATGACAATGGCTTGGTGTGGTGTCTGAGCACCTGCATGGGAGGGAAAGAGAGTTGGAGGATGGGACAGGCTCAGGTAATTGGGACCCCGGTGGCACATTTGTACTATCATCTCCACACTGCATCTTAGGGCCAGAACGACGCATGGAAGCCAGCTATCCCCACTTCCCACTGAGTGTGGGGACCTCTTTGATGACAAGACAACCACTTTTAGGTTGAACAGAAGTGAAGATCTATATGCTATCCTCACAATAGCTCTGTGAGGTTGGAAGTATCAATTTATAGGTGGAGATCCTGAAGCCCAGAAGAATTAAGAGACTTGCCCAAGATCCCACAGCCAGTAGGTGATGAAGTCAGGATCTGAACCCATGTCTCCCTGACTCCAGTGCCCGTGTCATTTAAGCCCTTGGGCCCTTGCCAAATGGTATACACCAGATATTTGGGCATAGAAATGAGATTCTGTGTTTCTGAACTGACCTGCCACCAGGACCCCTGTCCAGGGCTCTGAATTTATACCCTTTCCTGTGTGGCTCCTCTCTTCCTCACCTCATTAGGCCCAGGCTGTTCCTATCCTGTCCCTGGGCCTGGCTCCAGACACTTTCGATGACGCCTATGTGGGCTGTGCAGAGGAAATGGAGGAGAAGGCAGCCACTCTGCTGAAGGAGGAGATGGCCCGCCATGCCCTGCTGCGCGAGTCCTGGGAGGCAGCCCAGGGCGCCTGGGAGCAGAAGCAGCAAGGGCTCACCCTGCCCCCTGGCTTCAAATCCCAGCACGGAATCGCCGTCATGGTCTACACCAACTCTTCAAACACCTTGTACTGGGAGCTGAACCAGGCCTTGAGGACGGGCGGCGGCTCCCGGGAGTTCTACATGAGGCACTTCCCCTTCAAGGCCCTGCATTTCTACCTGACCCGGGCCCTGCAGCTGCTTCAGGGGAGCAAGGGCTGCAGCAGGGGACCTGGGCAGGTGGTGTTTCGAGGTGTAAGCACCCTTCGCTTTGCACCCAAGAGGTTAGGGGATTCTATCCGCTTGGGCCAGTTTGCCTCCAGCTCCCTGGATGAGGCGGTGGCCCACAGATTTGGTAATGCCACCTTCTTCTCCCTAAGGACTTGTTTTGGGGCGCCTATCCAGGCCTTGTCTGTTTTTCCCAAGGAGCGTGAGGTGCTGATCCCTCCCCATGAAGTCTTCTTGGTCACCAGGTTCTCCCAAGATGGAGCCCGGAGCCTAGTGACTCTCTGGAGCTATAATAAGACCTGCAGCAACTTTAACTGCGCCTATCTGGGTGGTGAGCTGTGCATGAAGGAAGCAGGACTAGCAGGGAGGGTGAAATAAGCCGGGATGTCCCTATACAATCCCCAGTGCCTTCAGGAGATGTGCTTGGTTAAGGGGGAAGTTGAGGGCCAGAAGTCAGCTGCAGTTATTGTTCTTTGTGACTTGGATCCTGCCACCTCTTAGCAGGTCCTGTCAGTGTTTTCCAGATCTGTGTCTATTTTCAAGTGATTCTGTAAGTGTTCTCAAAAAGTTCCATCTGCTATGAGTCTAACAGAGCAAAAGAACCCAGTTCAGGAGATCAGCAAGCAGAGGAAAGTGACAGGAATACTGTCACTTTCAGCAAGGCACTGGCCTTAACAGGGTCCACAGGACACAGCTGAGCTATTCCCAAGTGCTGAGGTAGGGACAGAATGGAGGAGTGACTGGGGCTAGGGTGGGAGTAGGGACGGATAGGCTATCTGGGAAGATTTCCCGTGGGGAAGGAGGAGGAAGGAAGTCAGGAGTTTGCACTTAGGAAAAGGGAAAGGTGGATTGAGAAGGGGGATGGCCAGTGCCGGGGCCTCGTGGGAAGGGGAGTTTGGGGTATGAAGGTCTGTTGCCACGAAGGCCTCACCTTGCTGTTTGTTACAGGGGAGAAGAGGCAGGGCTGTGTGTCTGCGCCAAGTGAGTGACCCTTGTCCCCCCACCCCCAGTTGCTTTGACTCCTTCTGGCCCTGTGAGCGCTTCACCTCCTGTTTTTCTCTCTCTCCAGCAGTGGGGGCAGCCAGACTCACCCTCCAACAGGGCCTTCTCTCTGCTCTTCTGGAAGACCCTGCTCTCAGCCCCCGTGGGGTTCCAGCTCTCAGGAGCTGGGCCCTTGAAAGTCCAATGCCTGCCACTTAGGAGTCATGGGAACTGCTGACCTTCCTAGGAAGAAGGGGCCTTTGAGCAGTCGCAACGCAAGAACGTGGTTGCAGACCCAGCCCTAGAAGCCATCTCCCCAACCAGGACGCGGGGGAGTCTGAGGCCATGGAAGGGTAGAGGGGGCCCTGCTATGTGGTGGGGGCTCCCTGCTATGTGGTGGGGGCTCCCTGGGACAAGTAAGGGTAGTACTGTGATGACCACTTGATTAAACAGTGTTGGAGTGTGGTGACACTGAATTTCATGATTGGTTTGTCCCGTGAGACTGGGCCATCTGCCCTGCTCCGGCCTTGTGGGACTGAGGGACTTAAAAGAATGACTTCTTTATCGCTCCTGGACATGGTGCCCTGTGCAGGCCTCTGTGACACACTGTAATTTGCAAACCCAAAAGCTCTAACAGCCAGAGGTCCTCATAACACCCTGAAGGCACGAACAGGACAGAGGGATTCCTAGGCTCATTTGTCACGTGAGGAATGCAAAGCCAAGGAAGAAAGCAGCTCGCTCAAGGACAGAGTTAATACTGAAACCAGGCCCCCAGACCCACAGCCCAGAACTCTGCACAAAAGATCTACAGGAACTCAAGGGAGGATCCTAAGCCCAAGATGCTTGGGATCGCATTGCAAACCATTGCGCTGCCCTGCTCCCACAAGGGTCCATTTTGGGGGGAGAGAGGGAGGGAATCTCAAAACATGAAGAGACAGATTCTCACACACTCTGGAGGCATCCGATATCCTGAACAGAAACTTTATTGAGGTAAGGAAAGCACTATAGGCTCCTACTAAAATGATCCCCACCCTTACCACGTAGGCTGCTCTACTCAGCAACGGGAGAAGGAGCCCTCTCGCTGCAGCAGGACCCCTCCTTGGTTCCCATATCTTCCTCCTGGGGCAGGTCCCCAGCGCCCTTTGAGTCCTGCTGTCTATGCACTAGCACATGGGCTGGGGAGGATGGACCAGACTCTCCAGGTCTTGGAGGCCCAGCTCCTGCAGCATCCTGAGGCCCAGTTTCTGAAGATAACTGGGTCCCCACAATCCCTGGCACTGTCAGCTCTGGGGTCTCAGGGATAGGGGGCGCCAGGTTCTGGAAACTGTTGCGTACTCGGGTGATATAACGGCTGAGGATGCTGGCACCTTCAGGGGGCTGGCGCGTCCCTCCCTCCGCCAGAGTCCGCTGCACACCCGCTACCTCGCTTTGCAGCCGAGAGACAGTCTTGGTCAGCTCCGTCAGCCTGTTGCCCAGGTCTGTGGGAGGGTGTGTGCGGGGGAGTATTGAGGGGAGGTCCCTCAGAAGATGAACCTGCCCTGTAACACTTCTGTCCTTGACAGAACCCCGAGGGACATCGTGTTTGGGGTCTGGGGGGAGGTGGTGGAGGAAGTGAGAATGGGGGTTAAGTGGGTGGGTAGAGGAAGGGGCAGATGAATCTGAGAGGGGCCAGGTGGTGGTGAGTTTAGAAGAAGGAAAGGCTGTGGGCTGGGGAAAGAATCGGGAACCCTGAGCGTGGGAAAGTGTCTGAAAGGGCGCAGACTTGCACACCCGCCCCGGCGGCCCGGTTCCCCCATCTGCGCCGCCTGCCCAGCTCACAGCCATCCTCAGGGCCCAGTTCAAATTCCACCTTCTCTTTCTCCAGCTTCTGGTTCTCTGTTCTTCTACCTTCCCATGAGCCTCTCATGCTGAGACGCTCCTTCTCTTCTTTGGGTCCCATGCAGTTTGGGTCTCTCTTAGCTAACTAAGCACTTTCTACCCAATAAGATGGTTTCTCTTCCTCACCAGACTGAAAGCTTCCTGTGTGTCCCTGCCCTACGCAGTCCCCTCCCTCCAAGACAGCCTGGAAAAAAAGGGGATAGACGTGGCAACGAATGCTTGGTTGAATGAGTGAATAAATAAATGATTAATGAATTAAGTAAATGAATAAATGACTAAGGGAGTGAATAAGAATAAATGAACACATAAATGAAGACAAGAAGAAAGGATTACATGAAATGAGGGGAATAAATAAATGGGTCAGAGGGTAATTGAGTGCAAGGAGCCACACTGCAGGCTGTAGCTTCTCAGGGCAGGGCAGGATGGGGCCAAATATAACTGCGGGCTGCATGAGGGGCGTAAGTCTGGGTGCGGTGCATTCACCCCAGCCGGCAAGGAACAGGAATGGGGAAGGCTTGGAGATGGGCAACCAACCTTTCCGACGGGTCTCCTCGAAGTCCCGCCGGGCAGTCTCTATGTAGCGCTGCACCAGGGCCTTGATGACTCGAAGGCGGTAGGATCCACGTTCTCTGTCCCTAGGCGCTGGCCCTGCCCCTGCCGCAGGGTTGGCCTGGGATGGGAAGGAAGGAGGGTGAGAGAGATTCTCCAGCTCAGCCTTTCTCTAGCCACTGCTTCCTCCTCCGGGCAGTGAAGGATGGAGGCATAGTCTATGCAGACTTCTCTGTCCCTGAGGGCCACACATATAGACCCTGGTGCAGTCCTAGAAGGTGGAAGGAGGGCGGCCAGGAGCTGGATGGTGGGGTGTGGGTTGAGAGGTGGAGGGGGCAGTGGGCAGAGACAGAAATGTTGGGCAGGGCAGAATGGAATTCTCCTTCCTGCTGCCATCCCAACCTTGGTTTTCTTGAGTAGAGTTAGTCGAGGTAGCCCTCCTCTTCAAACTCTGCAGAGGGGGAGACTAGAAGATTTGAGGAGGCTCCTGCATGCTCCTGCTCATGTATATAATGTGAGAACCATCATGCAAATTAGAATGATTGATTCTGGGTCCAGTTTTAGGCTTCAGGATAGGATAGTACCAGGAGGGCAAGTAGGGTATATGGGGCAGATAATTGAGAGAGAAAGAGAGAGAGAGAGGGAGAGAGGGAGAGAGAGAGAGAGAGAGAGCGAGCATGTGCAGAGGTAGAGAGAGTAGGCAAAGTGCTGGACTCAGATGACATAGACTGAAATTCCAGCGCTTAGCAGCTGTGTGCCTCAGGCAAGTGACTCCACTCCTTCAGGCCCAAGTGTCTCCAGATTTAAAACAGGGATGGTAATAATGCCTCCTTCCCAGACTGGTACTTCTCTGGCATAGAGTGAGGGCTCTCTGAATACTCAGGAAATAGTTATTTATATTTATCTAGTTTTATCTTTAAATATTGTATACTTAGCATATTTACTTTTATAATATAAAAAAGCAGAGCATTTTATTAAATATTTAAAAAGGAGATATGGAACTGACAGAGATGGGGCAGGCAGGAGTATAAGAAAGAATGATGGACCTTTCAGCCACAGCGCATATAAAGCATTTTTCTTGTATAAAATAAAGAATGAGAACTTTGGGAAGCCATTTCCTGAGGAATGCAGGGTAATTGGGAGGGGACACGTGACTGGACCATCAAAGAGCAGGCTAGGAGGTGGGGTAGCTGGAGGAAGGGTGGGACCTCAGTGGAGATGCTGTGGAGGACGGGGGAGCCCCCCAGCTGGCTGGCAGAGTGGGATCCGGCAGGACGCAGTGACCCTGCCCAACCAGGTCCACGCAGGCCCAGGGAACTGAATTCGACCTCAGGTGAAGAAGCTGAGTTTCCACCCTAGGGTGGAAGTAGCCTTCACATGTGGTCTGCAAATAGCATCAGGCAGCCTGGACAGGGCCAGGAAGTGGCCAGGGGGGAAGGGGCCCAGGAGGGTGACAGAGGTATCCATGCAGGGTTGCCCAGGGCCAGATGTGGAGGGAACTGAGAACCTTTCGCATCTGGTTTCTTGTAAGAGTCATGTGTTCTCCATGCCTTTGTATGTGCTGTTTCCTGGGCCTAGATGTCCCTTCTCCACGCTGTCTCCCATCAACCTCCTGTTTATCCTCCAGGATTCTGTTCTATCCTTCAGGTCTCCAGGAAGCTCTCTGACTCATGAGGCTGGGCCTGGGACCCCTCCTCTGTGCTCACATAGCCCCTGGGCTTCCCTCAATCATAGACTTGTCATCCTATACAATTACAGTCCATCTCCTTCTGCTACTCTAGACTGTCAGCACCTCGAGGGACCACCGTTATGCATAGCTTTATTTCCAATACAGGTGCCTGTTGAACAAACTGGACCAACCAGGTAATGGAAGGCCTTCCTTATGCAGGGATCCAGGGACCTCAGCGCTCCAGAGTTGGCCTGTTGCCCCGTAGTGCTGACCTGGAGGCCCTGGCTCAGAGAGATGCCCAGGTAACACATTTTAAGGGGAACAGATAGACCTGGCAGGAACACTGGCCTAAATGCCATGCCAGAATGAGTTAGGGAGCAGATAAAGAAAGGTGTGTGAGCCCCTTAGAGGCCAGGCCTTCTCTCTTAGGCCTCTGTTAGTCTTCTAATTTCCCAGTTTGTAGGGCCTTTTTCCCTCCATTTCTTAACATTAAAAACAAAAACAAAAACAAAAACAAAAGCATTCAACCATGTCTTGGCCCAGTTTAGGGAAAAAGTTTTGTGTCTTGGGAGGAGGGCGGCATGGACTTCTGTTTAAGCTGGATGATACAGGGTTGCAAATTTAGGAAATGACCAGAGCCAAGAAGAGGGAAAGGCATGCCATGTGAGAGAATAAGAATTAGGAACAGGCTTTCTGGGAACACACCTGGAAAGACAGACAAGCCAGGGGCGTGCAGACAGACAGATGGAATAGACAATATAGCTGAAGTCAGGTGTGATGTGAGGACCAACACCAGGCAGATGAGGTACTCACGAAGGTGGGGATTGGGGGATAGTCTGGCTTCCTGGTTTTGCAGCAGGAGCAGCAACAGCAAATAAACTGGAAAATTCTCCTGAGAGAGTTAGATGGTGGGAAGAGGTTAGTCAGAGGTAAAGGTCTAGGGAAACGGGGGCAGGAGGTGAGGCGGGGGTGCTGGGTGCAGGGGGTTGGGAGTGAGAGCTCTGAGGTCATCACCTGAGAAGGTAGAAGATGGCCTTGGGGGAGGGCAGGATGTTGAAGGGCACAGGCAGGGTGAGGCCCTCTCGGAAGTAGGACAGGTAGAGCTTGGAACGCGCGAACTTCCATTCCACATCGGCATCGTCCTGTGAGCGAGGAGGTAGGGGGCTCTGCAGCAACCACTTTAGTACCCAGCCTTCCTGCCTGCTCAGTCTGCCTCGTTTCCCCCCATCCTCACACCTTTTCTACTCAAGGTGTCAGTTAACTTTTTTCTCCTCTTTCTCATCTCCATTATCATCCATCACCCACATTTCCCCTGCATCTGTCTCCCTCTTCTCTCTTCCTCCCCATTATTTTTCATCCTTCTGACATCCAGTTCTTGCCCAGACATTTCTCCAGCCACAAACCCTAACTATCCATTTCCTTCCCTCTTCCTTTTTATGTTCCCACTTCCTTTTCCACAACGCACCCTTCCTCCTAACCATGAAGTAAAAAAGGACACTCGACTTGTGTCTGGAGAAACTAACAGTGTTACTAAGACCCTCATTTTACAGATGAGGAAAATGAGGCCTAGAGAGGAAAACTTCTCTTCAGTCACAGAACAAGACAATAGTGGAGTCAGAGCAGGAACCCAAGTGTCTCAACTCTTTGTAACCTATTCGCCTCTACCCCTTTCTCGCTTCTTCTCCATGGCCTAAGCTGGCCTCAGTTCACGCACCTCAATCTTCTGGAAGGAGTTGGTGATCATGGCAATGAGCATGTTGAGCAGCACAATGACCATGACGATGGTAAAGATACCATAGAGGGCCTGGCCCACAAATTCAGGCACGAGAAACTGAGGCATGTCTACCACGCTGTGCTCTTCCATGCCAAACATGGTCCAGAACAGAAACTGGAATGTCTCGTTGAAACTGGCATGTTGGGACAAAAGGTAAGATGTGAGGGGTGGGAGATAAGCCTTAATGCCACCCAGACATACTCCTTCTCCCTGTCCAAGACCCAGCCAAAAGTGTTCTGCTTCCATGAAGTCCTCTGGACCATCCTGGCTCATAGACACTTGCCATTTCTGAGCTCCGCTTTGATTCTCTCAGTCAACCAGTATTTACTGAGCACATAGAAGTGCTATAGATGCTAAGGATACAGCCGTGAACAAGGCAAGCACAGTCCCTGTCTTCAGGGGCCTTATATACTAGGGTGGGACTAGGGGGTGGGATGGACAGTAATTATAGCAACATTTTTAAATTGTCATAATTGCTATGAAGAAGCATCAAAAGATGTTATGATGTAGTCTGGGAGTTGGGGAAAGAGTCTTTGAAAAGCATTCAAGCTAATCTCTGAAAGATCCATGGGAATCAACCAGGAGAAAGGGAAGGTGATGTGAAGAGTGTTCCCAAGACTCTTCTCGGGGAAGCCCGAGGAACTGAGAGCAGGCCAGCATAGCTAGTCTCAGAGGGCAAAAGAGAGAGGGGTTTGTGACACAGAGTCTAGTGGAATGTAACTAGGGACCAACCTGTTCATTCAGGACCTTGCAAGATAAAAACAAAAATCCTTACCATGGCCTACAAGCATTAGGAAGCTACTGAAGAGTTCTAAGCAGAGGGTTGATACCTGATTTTCACATTGGCTGTTCTGAGTAGAATGAAAGGGATGCAGCTGAGAGGGGGCGGCATGGAGACCAGTTAAGAAACTGTTGCCATGTGTAAGAGAGGATGGTGGATTGGACCACAGTATTAGTAACTCCAATGCTACTTCTTCCTGAGAGCCATCCCTGGATTTCCTTCTCTACCTCCAGCAGACATGTCTGTGAGACACTCACAGACCCTGACTACAATAGCATGGGTCCTACTGTATTTATTTGTAAATGTCTTATTCCCTCCATTTCAGCACCAGTTCAGGCCTAAATTACTGCAACAATCTCTGTAACTGGTCTCTGACCTCAGTCTCTCTCTTGTTATATCATCGTCTACATTGCATCCAAGGTGTTCTTTCTACATACTGACATGATGTGTTGTACTTCTGCTTGTCAAACATGAAATGCCCCTAACTACCTCACCAAGGGGCTAAACTGACATTGTGTGTCTCCCAAGGTGATGTGATGGAAAATACATATCATCAGCTAGGTTGTGTTCTTGCCCAAATTGCTTGTCTTGAATCTAATCATGAGGAAATAGGTAAGTCCCAACCGTGGAACACTCTCTACAATGAATTGGTCTGTATTCTTCCAAAAAGTTCATTTGTCATGAAGGACAAATAAAAGGTAGAGGAAGGGTACCAGATTACTGGAGAAAAAAAGAGGTATGACAACAACATGCAATGCATGATCCCAGATTGGATCTCAGATTTTTTAAAAACTAGAAAGACTTTTTTTTTGGGGGGGGGGGCGGCAACTGGAGAGCTGTGAATAAGTAAGGACTGTTTAGTAAATAATATTACAGAATCAATATTAATTCTTTTTAGTGTGATAATGGTTTTGTGGTTATGCTCTTAGGAAGCATCCTGAACGATCTAGGGGTGAAATGTCATGATGTTTGCAACTTATTTTTAAATGCTTCAGGAAAAATAAAAAGAATAAAGAGAGTAATACATCAAGTAAAATGTGGCAAAAAATTAACAATTGGTAAAGTTAGATGAAGGGTATATTAGTATCCATTGTGTTTTTAACTTTTCACAGAATTGATATTTTTCAAAATAAAAGTTTGGGGAGAAAGTGAGGGGTTGAATAAATGAATGAGTAAATGAACAAATGAATGAGAGTGAATCAACAAGAGAGTGATTTGCCAAACCAGATAATTAATTATTGAGTGAATAGATGAGGGTAGCAGCGGGTGGCGGGGGCAGGTGTAGAAAGAAGTGACTGCTAAGCTCCAAGCTGCGGGCCCTAGACTCCCTCCTGCCCGTCCGCCCCTGCCCTGGCGTACTTGCCCAGCCGCTCTGTCTCCTGGTAGGGCACATAGATGTTATTGAGGCCACAGAGGAAGGCAGTCAGGATGATCATGAGGATGAACATGAACCTGGCAGGGGGTGTGATAGGGGAGGATCAGGCAAGTGTCCGCCCTGGGAGAAGTCGATCTCTGGGAAGAGGGCAGGGATTGATGACGTTTCAGGCTCAGCCTCTCTACTTGACAAGTATTCAATTTGGTTACTATTAAGAATGGGGAGGTTAGAGGGTGGGAAATGAGAGGGGGTGTTAAGTGGGTGTCAAAGCAGGGGCTCTCTCTCTGGAATAAAGCATACTGAGTTAAAGCAGTCAAAGCTGGGATGGGCCAGTCTCCCAGGGAGGGACCGAGAAGCTGAGATGTGGTACAGGAAGGAGTGAGAGTCAAGAGTGACAGCCACATGCGAGAGTGAGTGAGCTCTGACAGGATGGGCGAGAAGAGTCCTGGGGTGCAGTGGGAAGTTCTTCCCCAAGCTCTGCTGGGCTGAAGATGTCCACAGGCAGAACCAGAGTTTTTCCCACCAAGGTCACCCATTCCAGTCCCCAGGGGAGCCGACATCAGGAAGACCAGATAAATGCCATGGGTTCAAAGAGCAGTTTTGTAGTGGGAAGGGTCCAAAGGGACCCTCGAGTCCAGTGCCCTTACCACAAAGATGGGAGCACTGAGGCCCAAAATGTATCACAGGGACAGTGACAGAGCTAGGAATGGAACTCCCAACCAAGGGCTCTTTCTCCTCTCAGTTGTTCCTAATCTTTTCTGGGGTCCTGGGACTCTGAGGATCAGATGAGAGTTATAGACTCTCCCTGCAGAGAAGTGCACATTTACTCCCCACATTTTGCCTATAGTTTCAGGTTCTTAGAGGTCTCTGGAGCTTATGCAAGGAACCCAAGTTGAACCGCTGTGCTAACTAGAGCAGGGCAATTTTGGAAGGAGGTCCAGTGGCAAATGGAGTCTATCAAAGGGGAGGAGGCTCTGGGCCCAGATGGTACGCACCGCATCATGTCGTCAATCATCCTGCCAATGGAAATCTGCAGGGTGCCGAGCGACTCGTGGGCCGGCAGGATGTATGCCAGGCGGGTGAAGCTGAGCATGCTGGTGACGGCAAAGAGCACCTCGGCCAAGAATTGGGGGTCCTCTGTGCGCCACTCACTTCTCTCTGTGCAGGGTGGCACGAGGGCTAAGGCTGAGAGCCCGGGAGGAGGAGGGACTGGGGTATTGGGGCTGAGTCGGGGGACACTCACCAGCTGAAGTGAAATAGTGGCAGGCAGCCCCGCTGGGGACATCCCGGCAATGCATGTGGGCAAGCCCAGCCAGGAGAAGGCGCAGTGCAAAGGCCGCCAGGTACAGGGACAGGATGACCACATCCAGGAAGTTCCACCAGTCCAGGAGGTAACTGCGCAGGCCCTCTATCCACACTTCCTTACACTCAAACCATAGGAAGCCTGAAGGGGTGGCAGGGGCCAGGGCAGGATGAAGCCGAACTCTCCTCCGTCCGGGTCAGAGCGAGGCTGTGGTGGGAGAAACCTACCAAAGGTGCCAGCGAGGGCTAACACATCGGGGGGATGAAGTTGATAGAATGTAAACATTTAGTGACTTTATGTGAAAATAAAGGCTCTTAGCTGATCCAGACTCCTCTGCGGTGTGGCCTGCACTAGCGATCCCAGTCAGCTGACATTCAAGGTGAGTAACACCTGGGAGAGGCTGGTTATTGGGAGGGAATGATTTAAATCTGTTTTTTCCCCTGCTTCCACAAAATAAATATTGGACACATATTTAAAGGATATTGATTTGAAGGTGCTCCAAATTATCAACCTGCTCATTATCAATCAGCCTGGGGCCCCATGCCGGACCTGGGGATGGGGGTGGTTCTTGGGAGCTGGACCGCTATTAGCCAGGTGACTGCCACATCGTATTCTTTCCAGTTTCTGGATATAAGCCTGTGCTTTTGCACTCATGGTTCTGTCTACCTGGAATGCCCTTCCACACACTTGGAGTCAGACTCACCTTTGTGGCCCAGGTCAAAGAGGTAATCTCTTCTGTGACGCCATCATGGCGGGGCACTGCAGCGGCCTGTCTCCCTTCACCTCTCAACTCGGAACCCCTCAGGGCAGGGACCATGTCCATTCACCTCCCTGTGCCCAGTGCCCAGAACTAGACCCCTAGTCATTATTAAACCAACGTTTACTAGGCTCCCACCGTGTGCCAGCGGGATCCTGTGGTGAATAAGACAGATACAGTCTCTAACCTCCCAGGGTCCATAATCTAGTGAGGGAGACAGGCGAGTAGCCAAGTAGGTACAATCAAGTGTGGGAAATGCTAAGGCTGCAGAGAAGGGGAAGAGGTGGGTATGGAAGTGGGTCCCCATCCTCATTTTGGGGGACAGGGAAATCTTCTCACAGAGAGTGACCTTTAAGCTGAGACCTGACAGAGGAATATGAGCAGCTAGGTGAAAGGGAAAGTGCTCTGGGGACAGTGAATGAGCACAGGCCTAATGACAAGTGGGAGCATGATGTGGTCAGGAACTGAGCCAGTTCCCATGGCAGGAAGAGTACCTTGTGAGGTGGGGTGGATGCTCAGTAATGTATGCCGAATGGGGGAATGGAGCCGTATTTAATTCATCTGTGCATTCTTAGGTCTTCACTTTCAGTGGGGTGGAAACAAGCATTTATTGTCTAGCCTGCTGAGCTAATAACAAGCCAGAGGGTAGGAGAGCTCTGGGGGTTCTTGTAAACTGCATTGCTGAATTGTTTGAGAACACTTGATTCTGCTATAGGACAAAACCCCAAGGAAATGGATGAAACATATTAAGCAGAGATAAGTTAGTTATCTGTGTGAACAAATAAAGTAAGTAGAGCACATGTGTGTGAAGATACATAGAAAGGAATGGTAGACACTGAATATTCATGAGGCAGATGAGGAGCTCAGGATTCACTAGATCTTAAATCAGCTATGCACTGGTGATAGCCATTCTGGCCCCACATGTCCTCTGCCTGAAGAATGCAAAGAAAAGTCAGAGCTGCACATCAGGGTGATTGGCAAGCTACAGCTGTGGCCAGACATACTTGCCCTGGGGTTTCTCCCATGGAGCAAGTGTTGGACCCCGGTCACTTCTGGCTTTCACATCCCCTGCTCAAGCTTCAACTCTGGTCCTCATAACAATACCATCATAAGTATACCACTTATGGACTTAATAAACTGGATGATTGAAGCATCTTAATTCAGTCTGTGAACCTTACTGTTCCATGACCTTTGGGATAGATTGTGTGGTGGTGTATTTGCAAGGTACCGTGACACCAAGGTAATTTCCCACCTGACATTATGGACCAGTGAGAGGATAGGAACCTCCAGAGTGGGCAGTAACTGGTGTCAGGTTGGGGAAGAATGGGGTCCTTGCTCAAGGAGCCTATCACAAGGCCAGGTCTCCTAATTAGGGATGAAGGGGAAAGTCCCCTTAGAGTCCATAGGGATCTGGTTGTGTTCAGGGGCATCTACAGGGGTAAGGGACCCCCACTGGGGTACTCATCACAAAGAACAGATTGGGGGGTCCCTGAGGGGGACTGCCACAAATAAAAGGCCCCACGCCTGTACCTGTGACCCAAATCATGTGCAGTGAAGTCTCCCAGATGCTCTGGCTGCGGCCACGGAAGGTACTCAGCTGTGTCTCCATGACCAGGGACTCTCCCAGCAGGAAAATGAGGAACCACAGGTAGGAAGCGGAGTGCAGCAGGAACTTCAGCACTGGGATCTTTAGCAGGTGGCCCAGCTTGGGGGGAAGGGGCGAGAACATGACTCTCAGAGTCCTGTTCCTGTCTCCCCCACTCCTGGAAGAACTTCAGAATGCTCAGCCCACACGTGACTCCCCCTTTCACTCACTCCCTTATTCAGACCTTTATTAAGAATTTCCTGTAGGTTAGGACTTACACTATCATATCTATTGTCTCCTTCACAACCATATGAGGTGGATATTATCATTCCCATTTTTTTCAGCTAAGGAACTGATGATCCCAGAGGTAAAGTAACTTTCCCTTGGAGGTCTGACAGGCTCTTCAATCTCAACCATGAAAAAAAAAAAAATTCGTCATCTTCTACCTCAAACTCATTACTCTTCCTCCTCCTCCTTTGTCCTCATCTTAGAAAATGACCCAATCACGCAGGCCAGGAACCTTCAGTGCATCTCTACATCCTCTCTCTCTCACACACTCTGAAGTCTCCCTAAGTCCTACCCTCGCCCCACTCCGTTCTCACACATTCTCACTAGAAGAGAGAGCTTTCTAAAACACGAGACTAATGGGACTGTTCACCTCATTAAAAGTCTACATTGGGCCCTGACCAGGTAGCTCAGCTGGTTAGAACGTTGTCCCCATAGGCCAAGGTTGTGGGTTTGATCTCTGGTCAGGCACATACAGGAATCAACCAAAGAATGCATAAATAACTGGAACAACAAATCGATTGCTTTCTCTCCCCCCCTTCCTCTGTCAAATCAAATTTTTTAAAAAGGCTACAATGGCTTTCATTGTTGCTTATAGGACTCCAAGAGATCTGGCTACTGCCTCCTTCCCACTCCTGACTATTTGCACTTATGCTTTAGCAGCACCGAATTCCTTTCCGTTTCTCTGCTACTTTACATTCTTCTCTCCTGGAGCCCCAGATGTGCTGTTCCTGCTTCCTGGGACACTGCTCTCCTCAGCTGGTTAAAATGGGACAGGGCTTCTCATTATACCCCAGCACCAGGCATAATGCCTGGCTCACAGTAGTCTCTGTAGGAAATATTTGGTTGAATAAGTGAATTAAACTATCTGGGAATAGTTTGTTCCCAAAGAATTTGTTAGCTGGGGTAGTAGTCTCTTTTAGGAGAATTTAGGGTTGTATATAGGATTCAGGCTTTGGAGGCAGACAGGCCTCAGCTTAAATCCTGACTCTGCTATTGTACTGTGTCTCGTCAATAAAAAGAGCCCTTTGACCCCTGTGACCCCGTAATAAGAGGTGTAAAGCTTACCTTCCAGGGCCACCTCAAATTACTTAATGGGAACCTTCCCAAAGTGCCTTGCCCAGGACCTGGCATGAAACAAGAGCTCAAAAAGTGACAGATATTAATTTTATTCTTAGTACCCGGGACTTGGGTGCCAGCCAGTAGCCGAGGCAGAGGAAGGGCATGGTGAGGAAGATGAGGAAGGCAACAAAGAGCTTCCAGATGGTGGTGCTCCCACGCCAGCCAGCCAGGTTTCCACACCAGATGGAGGACAGGACTTGCTGACAGATGGGGTGTGCCACAAACTAAGAAGAGACAGGGGAGTAAGCAGACAGGGTGGCCAACAGGCAGGGAGGAGGAAGGGGAGCCAATTGGGAGCACAGTCTTTACTTCCCTGACCTAGAGACTGAACAGGATTCTTTCCTCCCCAAGCCAGCTGGCTCAGAAGAGGCAACTCATTTGCCACGTCACCTTGCACAGGCCCCACTCCTCTTTGGGCCTTGGTTTCCTAGTTTATGAAAGAGAGGCTGAGTTCAGATTTCCCTGGACTCTCTAGCAGACAGGATACCCAAGTCCCAGAACCTGTAGGGTTCCCTATTTTAGAAATGTAGGGCACTGGCCTTAATGGTTTTGAGGAGAGGAGCAGGGGAAGTGGGGGTTGGTATCTTGGAGAGCCATTATGAAGGAAAGTTCTTGGTGAATCTCCTGTTGGGCTAGGATACCTGAGGGTGTGTGAGAGGGAGGGAGGCATAAGGAGTTGGGGAGGCTGGAAAGGGAGCCTGACTTTAGCTTAAGGGGTGGAGCATCTGATGAGACAGGGCATCTAATAAGGGAATCAGTTGATATTTAACTCCTGAGAGATCTAGTCTAATCTTTCTGAATAGAGTAAGATACTGAAGTCTAAAACAGAAAAATACTGGACCAAATTACTCAGCAGGCCAGAGTCAGACTCTGTCAGTCGGACATCTGGAGGGCAGGTGGGGTCCTGGTGGGTGACGGGAAATCCAAGGGCTGGGGAGAGGTTAGGGGCTTAGACTGAAGGTAGGGAGGGTGGGAGACCCATAGGATCAGGGGCCTACATAGAAGGGTGATCAGAATCAAGTCTAAGAGGGTCGTGGGGACAGGAGAGGGCTTCTTTAGGGTTTGAGTGGGGATACTTAGAGATGGCAGGGCAAGGGATCAGGGCCGAGCAGGGGGTGGGGGCTGGTGCTTGGTAGGGCCCAGCTGACCCGCTTCTGGTTGTAGTTGATGGCCAGTCGCAGCCTCGCCAGGTTTGGGATGCCTTCCTCAAAGGCCTGGGCCAGGCCCTCAGCCTCAAGGTCTGCCTCGCTCTCCTCATCCAGGTCATTGAGCACCGCTGTGACCTCGCTCTGGTTCCGGCACATACCCAGCAGTTCAAAGCTGTAATCCTGGCTCAGTGACTCCAGGGCAATATACTCGGGCTGCAGGGAAGCAGGTCCGTATGTGCCTGACACTCTGTGGACCCAGCCCCATTGTCATCCCCGTGCTCTCCCCAAAGTGAGCCTGGACAACCTCTGTCCTGCCCTTGGGCCATCACTTCCCACATTTTGTGTCACCCTGGGTCATCCACTCCTTCAGTCTCTGCTACCTCATCTCTCCTCCTTGCTATAATGAGGTACCTCCTATGTCAGCTTTGTGTATCTGGTGCTGCCTCTGTCTCATCAGTTATTTCAACCCAAACCCCTCTGCCACCTTTGCCCATCCCTGTACTTCCCCTTTTTAATTCCTGCTTCCTGTCACACTTCTCCTACACTCATAGCTTTCTCGTGTTCATTTACTTAACTTTCCTGAGCACCTATCTTATATGAGAGGCCACACTGGCAGTTTGAGGAGAGGCAGATATGAGTGAGGTGGATCTTGACTCCAATTTACCCTCCTTTCCTCGGTTTTACTTGGGGCCCTAACCCCAGGGAGAATCCAGCCTAGGATCTCAGGAGGCCAGACCTGAGTCCCAGCACTGTCCCTTGTTGGGGGGCAGGTGGGGAGGGTCACATAGGGTAAGGTCCTTTTGCTTTCCAGGCCGCAGCTCCCTTGCCTGGACAGGGGGATGACAATTCCCACTGCTTCCGTCCATGGGCTGCAGTGAGGAGGGGAATTCCTTGGGAGAGGACTGCTCTTTATAGCTCCCTCTTTATTCTCTGATCTTCCTTCCATTACCCCAGTGAAACAGCAGGCTTTCCCCAGCGCTCCTGGCACAGGTCACATCCTACCTCAGTCCTCGTTTTAATATCATTGTCTCCTTCCCCAGCTTGAGCATGAGGACCAAGTCTGTCTGGCATAGAGGGGGCATCAGTGGATGAGTGATGGATGGAACTGGTCAGGTGTGCTCAAGGCCCCCTTCAAGCGTTGTCCCGCACAGGTCCCTGCACACCTCATTCTGTCTACTGCTACCTGAGAGCCATACCTGGCCTGCGCCCCTACTCCTCTTCATTTGTATTAAACCACCCACGTGTGTAGCCAAGATTAATCCTACTTCTTCCAAGGAGTCTGCCATGAACACAAGAGCTATAGCTTCCTGACTTCTCTTTTCTGGGCATTGGAAGTTTTTGTGGAACCATCCACATAGGCACTGAATGAAGCTGAGCGTCCAGGGGGCATCTTTTCTCTTTCTCTCTCTCCTCTCCCTGCTTGTGATCACAAGCTTCAGGCCCCAACATGCCCCGCTCAGGTGGGAACACGCAGGAGTTATTCAGAGACGACAGGTTCTACTGAATGTCTGTCCAGTTGCTTTGTTTGTCTGTGTTCTCTCTCCTCCCTTAGACAGACCCAGGGCACCTTTAGGATGGGGTTTGCGCTACCCCCATACAATAGGGTGTCCCTAAAGTGACAGATCTCTGCCATTAGAATGAATCCCCTTGAAGGTGGGATTCTGTAACTCCCCATCAAAATGGAGGTTTCCTGAGAACAGAATGAGGCCTCACTATCTTTCTGTTGTTCCCCACTTCCCAAAACACCCACCACAGGCCCAACCATTTCCAGGTGGAAGGGCACATACCAGGTACCCAAGGGAATGTATGAGAAACCAACCTTAAACTCAGGCTCCTTGCGTGCAAGGCCCCTGAGCTCCCGGCTTAGCTGGAAGGCTGCCAGCATGGCGTCCTCACTGGCCAGCGAGAGGTGGGCCCTGCTGGCAATGCCGCGGTAGGTGTTGATGCGGGACAGGGAGAACTTCAGTAGGTCATAGCGACGGGCATTGCTGCACTCCAGGCAGGCACAGGACACGGGGTGGGGCCACGCAATGGTGTGGCCTTGGTCCATGAGCAGCTGTGCTACTTCATACAGGTCCTTCTGGCAGGCCAGGGTGAGTGGTGTAACACCAGGTGCAAAGCGGGAGCCATCAATGGATGAGTCAAAGAAAGCCAGGGAGAAAGACCTGGTGTCCACTTTGCGACCTTTCTCTCGTTCCAGCCGGGCCAGCAGGCGACGCACCACTGCTGGCTGGTTTGTGTCCACTGCTACTAGCAGTGCCTCGTGGATCTGCCGGAAGTCAAACTTGACATTGGCCAACAGCACGTCAGCGATGGCCTCGTGGCCCAGGCGGATGGCCAGGTTGAGAGCTTCCCTCCAGGAGCGGTCCTCAGCCTCCTCCACATTCCGCAGGGGTCCTCCTGGCCCACCGCCTGGGGCGTCCACCCCTGATTCCAGTAGCTGCTGCACGAGGCCCAGCTGCCCCCCATGGATGGCACCCAGGAGTGGAGGTGGGAACTTCAGCTTTTTGTTCACGATCTCCATCCAGTTAGGTTGTGACTGGGTAAAGGAATAGAGAGGGTGGGACTCCGTTTCTAACCCCCTTTGTTTTGGGGCCCCCCTCACCCTCCCACCCTCAAGCCTATACCCCTCTATCCCCAGCCACCATTATATTCTTCCTTGTTCCAAACATGTATGGACAAGAATTTTCTTAGTCCCCATTTTATTATGTGGATATTCAGGTTAGGAAAGTGCCAGGACTAGGCCTGATTGGGGGCCCCTTCCTCAGCATGACTTCCATCCTCACAGGAACCCCCACACAGCGGGGCCCAATGTGGGTACATTGAGAAAGGGGAGGTTGAAGCAGCTGGACAGGGCTGCACTGGGAGGCAAATCCCACACACGGAGACACAGGATCTGTGCAGGGCCCAGCTCTCATCTTGTTGACTTCATCTCCCAGTCGCTCATCCCTCTGGAAGAACCAGAGCTTTTGAAGGACAAGGCCAGACATGTACACATAGGAGGGACTTTGAACTGGGCTTTTCCTAAGCCCCTCAGCTCTGTCCAGGCCTTGTGGCAGGACCCCAACATACTCCCCCTCCACCAAACTCTCCCCCTACCCTGTTTTGCCCCTCCTGCATGGCACGGTGTTTTCCCCACTCAGTGCTGCCCGTCCCTTTTCTACCAGGCCCAGCCCATCCTCATTGCTCTTCTCTTTGGGACCCAGTCTTGGGACTCCAAGGGCTCCTCTTCCTCCCATATGGTGATGCCCACCACCTGTACTGCAGTTGAGATGTCCCTGCCACCCCTCTTGGTCAGCCTATTGTTTTAATCATGGCTAGAAATAGAACCAGGATGGGGGAAGGCAGGGGAGCAGAAGTCCTCTTACCATGAGAGGGTCCATGGCTGCACCCACCTATGCCGGCAGGGACCGAAGGACAGAACTCCCGCTGCCTGCTCCCCTGGCTGTGCAGCTGCCTCTTTCCTGTTCATTTAAAACTCCACCCCAGGCCCCCCCTTTGCCAGGACCAGCTGCTCCCTCTCAGCCCTGTGCCCTGGAGACCAGGGGAACTGGTGTTAGTGCCACACAACAAAATCTTCTAGGAAAGGGCAGAGAGGACATAGTTGCTCAAAAAAGGTAGGAATAGAATTTAGAAAGCCATAGCTGGAGGGGACCTCAGAGTCCCTCTGGTCCAACTGCCTCATTGTACAGATGGGGACGAGGGTGGGAACCCAAGGTTCCCAGCCAAGCCTAGGACCATTCCTCAGTCATTAACCCATCTGATCCCTGTGATTGCTCTGTGAGCAGGACAGAGGTTTATCTCTGTTATTTCGGGTTAATTCTGGGCCCGAGATAAATAACTTCCTTTAAGTCACACAGCAACATGGTTATCTAATTATATCTGGAAAGAGAACCCACAAAACATATGGAGAGTTAAGTTCATGGGATGCTAGAGGTCAGTCTCATGCTCAAAAATCACCTTCCTAGTACACAACAGGATCTTATTTATCAGGCAGTGCTTCTTTTCACAGGCTCTCAGTTTTCCTTTCAGGAAAATGGGCACAAGGATGCACACCATTCACTAGAGGAAGACATCTGGACTGTGTCCCAGAGCCCAGCACTACAGCAGAAGTTCCAAAGGGGAAAAGGATGAAGCTGTCCTTGAGAAAGTAAGGCGCCATGGTGACAGAAGCCTTGACAACTGGGAGTGGGAAGCAGGCTGGGTCCAGAGGTGCCATTGGGCAGAGTCTTGAGGGAGAGTGTGGAGGGAAGCAGAGACAGCGCTTGGCCTCATGGGCACTTGTTTACCGTCAAGAGATCCACTCCCCAGTTTTAGTCACAGACGGCAAGGGGCTCAAACCACAGGTCCTCATGGCTCATGCCTCAGGGACCTCCCCACACATGCTGGCATGTTCTTCCACTTCTCCTGCTGGGAAGGGCAACTGGCAGATAGGACACTGGACCCAGGAAATGGGTGATGAGCTCTCTGAGGACACCCACAGTACAGACGGTGATGAAGGTGGTGATGAGGAGGGAGAGGCTAGGTGAGGTGGGGAGGTCTCTCCACAAGTGGCAGCGTGCTGGGGAAGAATCTCAACGCTGAAGGAGCCTAAGGGGGAGAGAAAGAGGGAAGCAAAATTGGGCCTGCTCCCAAGCAGCCTGTCAAAATGCAGCTGTTTTTGTTGGAACTAAACATTTTACATAGAGACACTCTCCAGTCATGAATCTGCAAAGCATTTCCTAAGTGTTTACTATGCGCCTGACACTGTGCTGGGAGCTGAGGCATTTAAACCCAGGCCTGACCTTATGGACTGCAGAGTTAGGGGTAAAGATAAGCTATGGCCACAAGTAACTATGATACAAAGCAGCAGGTGAGAAGTACTAAGCCCAAGGGAATCAGGAGCTCAGTTGGGAGAAATTACCTGAGAAGATTAGAGACTTGGTAAACAAGTTAATGTTTGAACAGAGAATCAGAGAGTAAGTTGATTGTGGACAGAGGAAAATCTTATGAAGGAAATTCTAGGCCCTTTTTGAGGTGTTTCTGTCTTTTTCCCAGTACTTTATTTTTAAAGACAACTTTAAGTATCTATTGGCTCCTAATGACCAATCTTGCATAAACAATTAGAGTGGAAAAAAAAATCTGATAGTGTTTTAAATTGTTTTGTTTCACTTTTCTCCTGAGGACATGGCCCTTGTCCCTTCCTCAGCTTGGCCAACACAATGTGAGCAGGTGTTCAGTATAGACTTGTATGTAACAGCACAGCAGACAGAGGGTAGGAGTCCAAGTTCAAATGTTTCCTGGCAGCATTCCCAGATCTCCTATTCCATAGTCCTGCAACAACCCCCATGCCCAAGCAGCTTACCTGCGCAAATGGGGCACTCCCCACTATCCTGGACACCGCTGGCTCGGGCCTGGGGTTGGTGGTGTTCTCTCTGCCCTGTCTTTGCTCTTGCCCTCCTATTTGGCTGAGAGTTTGAGTAGGATAAAGGCCTGTGAGAAAGAACAGTTAAAGAACAGCTATTAGAAAGAGGATGTAAGGGCTGAAGGAACCTTAAATTAAGGTGAAAAAAATGATTAGTTGATGTGGAGTGAGAATCCCTGAGTAGGGAGTCCTGGTTTTCCCATTTATGTATCAGGCCTTAGGGAGGTCATTTTACCTTTGAACATCTGAGAACAGAGCTCCTATTACTGCCTCTAGGTTTATTATTTTTTTATTGAGATATAATGCACATCCCATAAAATTCATGCTTTTAAAGTACACTACTCAATGGTCTTAGGATATTCACAAAGTTGTTTAACTACCGCAACTATCTAATTTTACAACATTTTTATCACGCCCAAAAGAAACGCTGAACCCATTAGTAATCACTCCCCACTCTTCCATCCCCACAGATATATATCCAGTACTTCTTTTCTGGAGAAAAATATATTCAGATCCTTTGTCTATTTAAAAAAAATTAGATTCTTTTACTGTTGAGTTGTAAGGGTTCCTATATATGCTTTTTTTTAATTCTTTTAAAAAATTTATTTATTTATTTATTGTTAGAGAGGGGAAGGGAGGGACAAAGAGAGGGAGAGAAACATCAATGTGTGGTTGCCTCTCAAGTGTCCCCTACTGGGGACCTGGCTCACAACCAGGCATGTGCCCTGATTGGGAATTGAACAAGAGACCCTTTGGTTCGCAGGTGGCCACTCAATCCACTGAACCACACAAGCCAGGTTTGTTTTTTTTTTAAGATTATATTAATTTATTTATTTTTTAGAGAGAGTGAAATGGAGGGAGAATCGAACTGGTGACCCTTAGGTTCACAGGCTGGCACTCAATCCACTGAGCCAAATCAGCCAGGGCTAAGTTTCCTATATATTCTAGATACAAGTACCTTATTGGACTTGTGATATGGAAATATTTTCCTATATATTCTGTGGGTTACCTTTTTATTTTTTAAAGTGTCCACTGAAGCAGAAAAAGATTTTAATTGTAACAAAGTCCAGGATGTACAGTGTACTCAGATTCAAACTCTAGTTCACTATAGGGCTACCTCCTTGCCTAGTTCCACGCCTGACAACATGTGGACAAGGACATCTTTTCTCTGCTACCCTCTAGGTTCAGACTGCAAGATCGAGATCCAGACATAAGGGTGCCCTCTGATGTAACTGAAACACGAGCGAGGAAGAAGACAGGTGAAGAAGGGCAGTAAAGTTTGGGGAGGTGATTTGGGTCTTTTGGGTGAACCTACTTACCTGCGGGCTTGCACTTTCCGTCTCTTCATCTTGCCCACATCATTCTCTGAGTTTTGCTCCTCTAGTCTGGGCTCTGTGTGAGAAATGCTCATTTAGCCTAGCTCATTAACAAAGGACCTTCACGTATGATATTCCTTCTTTTAAGGACATTCTTTCTATCCTCTTTTCCTGGTTAATTCTTACTCTTTTAAGTCTTAGAGGAAACGCTAATTCCTATGAGGAAGTTTTCCTGGGTTCTCTAATCTAAATCTGGCCATCCTATCCTGCTTTGCCTTTGAAGCACTTTTCACAGTTTTAAGTTTCATATCTCTTGTATGACATTGACACATGCCTCTCCATTAGGGTAGGAGCACTGCTGTTTCATTTACTGTTGTATCCCTGGCACCTAACACAGAGCCTTGCACAGAGATGGTCAAGTGAGTAATAACAAAACCCAGCAACAACCACCTATCTATTTATCCAGAAGTTATGAAATACTTTGTATAGCATTTAATATGTTTCAAAGTGCTTTCATAGCTCCAGTGCCCAGTCTGCAGGGTACCTAAAAAAGTTTAGTTTCCTTCCCATTCTCCATCTCTTAAAATAATAAACTACATCCTTTCTTTACATGGTAGGCAGCTTCTAAAATGACTCCCATGGATTCCTGCCTCCTGGTATTCATGCCTCCCCTAGTATGTGGGCATAATCTACTAACTTATTTCTAATCAATGGAATTTGGCAAAAGTGATAAGAGGTCACTTCTGTGATTAGGTTATAAGACAGACTTCTTTCTTGCTAGCACTCTCTCTTGCCTTTCAGCTTATTTACTCTGGTGACGCAAGCTGCCACATTGTGAGATGCTCTGTGGAGAGACTCTCATGGTACAGGAGATGAGGGAAGCCTCAGTCCAACAGCCCGTGGGGAACTGAATCCTACCCATGAGCACATGAGCGAGCTATGGAGCAGATTCTTCCAGGGGGAGCCTATGGTAACCTCAGCCTTGCGACACATCCAGAGCCAGAGGACCCAGTTAAGCCACGCTTGGATTCCTATCCATTAGAAACTGTGAGATAATAAATATTGTTTTAAGCCACTAAGTTTTGGGGTAATTTGTTATGCAACAAAAGATAACCAATGAAATGATATACTCATTTCTGCAATGAAATGATATATTCATTTTACTAATTTGCTCAGTTCTTTGAAATAATAAACCATTTTCATTCAGTGAAGCAATGAGTGAAACCAAGGTTTTTCAGCGAAAACTCTACTTGTTTTCTTACTCTTGCTATCTATTGTACAACAGTAAGAGGAACAAGAGCTCTGGGGTTCACATCCCGGCTCTGCCACTTACGAGCTGTGTGACTCAGGATACTTCACCTCGCTGATCCTCAGCTTCTTTTGTAAAATGAGTGTAACAGTATCTACCTCGTAAGTTTGTGGTAAACATCAAATAGATAAAGTTAGTAAAAGTGCAATGTCTGATGTGAGGTAGGAACCCCAAAATGTTTAATCCTTTCTTCTTCTTTACTGATTTAAACACAGTATTCCCCTACTTTATTTCTCCAATAAGCTCCATCCACCATCACCCTGACCTAACTATCCTTCTGAGATGATCACAGAACATTAATAGTGTAAGAGGAGTAAATACTATTTGGTTTAATTCCTTTACTTTGAAGATGAGGGAACTGAGGCCCAAAGAGATAAGGATTCCCAATTCCTAGGCCAGTGCTCTTTAAGTTACTACCCCATATTTGACTTCTCTTCTGGTAATAAGACACTGACAGTTATTTTCTCCCACATAAACTCTCATTTGTGAGCCATCCCTGTAGAGCAGTGGTGGATACAAGGAGGAGTGATGGTGCTAGGGAGAACAAGGGGCCAAAGGTAGGTCATGGGGCCTCACCTGCACTGTCTGGATGACTGGGACCTGGTTCTGCAGGGTTGTTTTTTAGGCTCGCCCCACTGGCTGGAGGTGCCCTGCGGGCAGCTGAAAGCACCATGCGAGCTGAACGCCCCAAAGTCCCTGGCTGCAGCTGCTTTAGGATATTCCTAAGCTCTGAAATTTCCTTGGTGCTCCTGCATGGAAACAGAGAGAATACTTGGTTTCAACCAAAAAGAGACTCCATTTTGCTCACCCAAGTCGATGACATTTAACCAAGAATGCCAGTTTGATATATAGATACAGGCCTAGAGTATGTGATTAATTGGGGGAACCCAGATAGGGCTTGCATGCCTGTGACCACCTTGGTAGTTTTTCTTTTCCAGGAGGGAGAGCTGGTAAGTGGAAGACCTCCACTCTGGCAGCCACTTACGTACGTTTGGGGCTCTGGGAAGAATGTCCTCCGGATGGAAGGATTAGCCATCCAGGGGCTGGGACCAGACTCCGAAGCATTAGAGCTCTGAAAAGAAAATGGAACATGAACGACATTTACCACTAGGGGACGCTGCCACCTAGTGCCACGTATGCTCCCAAACTTAAGGTCTTCAGCTTAGCGAGTGAAATGTATCTGCTATAATTTGTATGGGGCACCTTTGCTTGTGTGTGCACACTCTCTTCCAGCTCTAAGGTGTGAGATTTGGAGATTTTGTATACTTTGTTCCTCAATGCTAAGGGCTTTGTCATGATCCTGAAAGATGTGGGATAAGAGTACATGCTATTGGGAAAAAGAGTCTATGAGATTGATCTCATGTGCAAACTTTTCAAAGCGTGCGTGTGTGTGTGTGTATGTGTGTGTGTGTGTGTGATATTCATACATTAAATATTTAAATACAATATTTAAGTGTATGTATTTAATATATTAAATTTGTACATGTATAAAATTGATTCATGTAGGTACAAAACTCAAATCACTCATCTCTTTTTATATGCCTATGTGAGAAACAAATTATACACATATTTTTCTTTATATTTAAAAATAGCTCTATTTTGAACTATTTGGGGACTTTTTTTATCACTTTTCTATATACTGTTCCATATTAATTTCCATTATGATTTATTTTGTGAACAAATTTGTTCACCTGCAACTAGAAACCTATGAATTTTAGCCATTTATAAAAGGAGATGTGTGTATATGGATGTGTGTGGGATGGCACGTCTCTTTCTAGCACCAGCCACTGCATCTGTCATAGGCATTTTATAAACCTCTCTACTTCAAACTCTAGAAATGTCTGTATGTGATAATCACACGATACATCATTTCTACATAGATTTCATTTATGTGGAATGCTACAACTTCTTAACTCTGCCAAAATTCAATTTATCTGTGTCAATTCCTGCGGTTATTTCCTTCTTTAATTTTCCAAATTTCATTAAATTTAAAAAATTAAACATTCTTCTTTCATTTTCAGCTCCAATTCTTTCATCACAGATTCCTTTAAAGGCAAAGGTCTTTCTTATAAAGCATCACTTTGACCTCATTCTGCAAGTTTGAGAAAGAGTATTTTTATTCACATTCACTGTTTAATATTTTCTAATTGCCACTACAATCTCATTGTGGACCCAGCATTAATTTTTAAATATTTTGTTTATCAGAATTTTTATTTTTTCTTTACCATGTCTCATACATTTTAGAGTGAATACTACTATAAAGGGTAGATAGCTGGCTATGTAGAGATAACTCTAAATGAGATTAACCATTACAAAATGAGTTCCTCAGCACCAGCTACATAGAGTCAGGCTGCCAAGACTCATTTAGCAGTGTGACCTGGGACATCCCACTAAACTTCTCTGGCTTCTGTTTCCTTATCGGAAAATTAATGATCACCAAAGGCCCTACTTCATAGGATTAAAAGCCCTTATGTTTTGCTATCACTCTAACTTACCATTAGAATGGGACATTTTTTTTAAAAAGCCTATGGCATTTTAGACACCTTAAATTATAAAATTAAGTGCCATCAGTTCGTTTCCATGTATCATTTCTCTATTATAGAAATGTTTCAGGATCTCCTTTCCCTGTAGTTTCATTGAGGTACCTGCAGTATGTTTCATTCTGCTGTTGATGTTCAATGCCTTTCTAACATAATGGCTCTGTAGTTGCTGACTCCCTTTCTCGATCCCACCAAGGTCTTAAAGGTGCAGAGTAATTCAGATGGCCAAAGTGGAAAGGTCTCTACAAAGTCCTTATTTATCCTATAATTAGGGAGATATGTCCTGGTTTGCCTGCGACAGTCATGCTTATTATGTCTGTTCTTCCTCTCCTTCTTATTTTTAAAGATTTTATTTAGAGAAAGGGGATGGGAAGAAGAGAAACATCCATGTGTGAGAAACACTGATTGTTTGCCTCTTGCACGCCCCTAACCTGGGACCTGGCACACACCCAGGCATGTACCCTGACCAGGAATTGAACCAGTAACTTTTCAGTTTGCAGGACAACATCCAACCCACAGAGCTACACCAGTCAGGACTCAGTATAATTATTAATAGCATTCTTTTTTGCTTTCAAAGTGTCTCAGTTTGGATGATAAATTTTACAGTGGCCTTATCTACAACTCCTCTCTGAAAGGTCATTTATATAATGAACACGTTTACTCAAAGCCTACTTTGTTCCAGCTGCCAGGAATGCATTACAGAACAAGACAAACAGGTTCCTAATCTCACAGAGCTTCCATTTTACTGTATAGCCAGGACCACAGAGCTCTAGCTCCATTCATGTCAGCTTCCAGTTCTGTAATATTGGGACATGGCAGAGCACGCTGAACTGCCTCACTGGTCCTTTTGCATTTTTTAGCCTTTCCCTCAATGGAAAGGTAAATCTCAGACCAAGCTTTACTTATCTCAGCTCTCCGGGTCTCTCTTACCCAAGGCTGTACTACAGGCATCTACTCCTTTGTCTGCTCTAACTCCCTTTTGTCTTCCCAATGTAGTCTCTTCTTTTTCTCAGTAGACTCAAAAGGATTGAAGTTCACTCCTGGGAACTGAAATTCTTTTGGTTATCTTGATGTTCGCAGCTTCTAAAAATGTAGTGTGTAAAGCAGTACTGTGGTGTAATGACAGGAGACCTGATTTCTGGTCCCTACTCTGATCTGACTTGCTGTGTGAATTTGAGTATTTAAGTTTCCCTATATGATGTGTAAAATGAGGTGGTTGGGGCTTGATGATCTCCAGTATTTTTTCATCTCTGGAATTCTATGTCTCAAGCTTTGTGTGATTATACAAGGTCTGTCCAGAAAAAGTCCAGCCATTGTTAATATAATGAAAACGGTTTAAGTGACATTGTTGTAACCTGGCATCCAGGGAGAGTGGACTGGAATGCGCATATATGACTAATGAAGACTTCACTGTACTAGTCAGTGGGGGCAGTAGACGCCGTTGAGTGAGCAAGTGTACTGTGTGGCCTTTGCATTCAAAATGACTGAGTGAGTAGAGCAACGAATCTGCATCAAATTTTGCGTTAAGCTTGAATATTCCTACACAGAAACTATTCAGATGATTCAGAAGTTTGAAGCTATGAGCAACTGGTGACTGGTAGCTTCATCACAACAGCAGCCTGCTCATACATCATGTCTTGTGCAGAGATTTTGGCGAAACATCACTTCGCTGAGGTGACTCAGCTCCCCTACAGCCCAGATTTGGCTCCCTGAGATTTCTAGATTTTCCCAAAACTAAAATCACCTTTGGAAAGGGAAGAGGTTTCAGACCTTTGATGAGATTCAGGAAAATATAACAGGATAGCTGATGGTGATTGGGAGAACTGTGTGAGGTCCCAAGGTGCCTACTTTGAAGGTGACTGAGGCATAATTGTCCTGTGTACAATGTTTCTTGTATCTTCTTCAATAAATGTCTGTTTTTCATATTACATGGCTCGATGCCTTCTGGATTATGAAGACCTTGTATCTTCATATTTGTTTGTGAATGAATTATGGTGGAGGGTACTGGCTTGGAAAGATAAATGGAGACACCAGTGTAGAGAAAGCAGGAGTCAGAATAGGCTTAGGAAGGAAAAAAAGAAAAACTAGAAAACTGGCTGAGAAAAGGGGAGATAAACTGACTAGATACTTACATATAGCCAGAAATCCATATATCTTTTAGGAGTATATGTGTATTGTACAAGGAAAGAGAGCAGGAGAACATATGAAATTGCAGAGCACATGTCTAAGAATATAACTGGCTTGGCTAGGTAGGTGAGTCAGGGAACAATAAGAGAAGGACTGTGAGTCCTGGGAGTTTCAGGTGCTAGAAGGAAAAGTTGGATGAAAGCAAGAGTCCCCAGTAACCTAGAAATAAAGTATGACATTAAGTTTGAATCCCAAAAGAATTTAATTATGACAAAAGAACAAATGGCCCAACAGCTTTGTGTACATGATATTGAAGGTTCACTCACTTGAATCTTTCACGTGTGAAAGTGAGAGTTAATTCCTACCTGTAAGAAAGGGTAATACACCCATTTACATTTATATTTGGTTTGCAAGCTGGCACTCAATCCACTGAGCCACACCTATATTTGTATTTAAATGTATGTGTGCTTATGTGTATCTATAACTCAATCAAGCACCAGCTTCCTAACCAGAAGCTGAAAAGGGTGGGAAAATATTAAGTCCTTGATCCACCATTGTACATACCTGGCTCAGCACAGGGCTCACAGGGGCTGACGGATCCATCACAGGGTCATCTAAGGAGTCCAGAGAGGAACACACACGCAGAAAGGCCAGGCCAAAGGACTCATGACGTGTGAAGGGTTGGGAACAAGTCAGGCGAAGTCGATCCCATGACTCACCTGAGGCTGGAGCCAGGAAATCATCTCAAGGGAGAGAGGAAATGCATGAATGGGAGGGAGAAAGGAAGAGAAGGTCAATATGAGTAGGGGCAAGAAAAGGCAGGGACTATATAGAGTAAACTCGAACAAAAGGAATAATGGACGTCATCAATACCCCTCTGGTCTTGGTGTTCAGGGTTTGGCAGTGCCAAGTGGGCCAGGCAGGGCCCTCTCAGGCATCATCACTCCTCCCTGTCATGGTTCCACACCATTCCCAGCATGAGTACCTTCTTGTTCTATACTCCTGAGACCTTATCAATGTCTCATTTTAACAGGAGGTATCTGCAGTGCTGGGGTCTGGGGTGACCACTTGCCCAATGGATTAGCTGACCTACATGCACTGTCCTTGGTCTATGAGCCCTTGGCCTCTCTCACAGCACTACATGCCCTATGTACTCACCCACAGTATCACATACCAGGATTACAAACCCTTCTCACCTTCAATCCCTAGCACTATCTAGTCTGACCTCATCTCCTTCACTTCATAAGCCCCTCCCTTATCACTCTTCCCTGGCATTACGAAAACCTCCAATTTAAATGCAGACAAATCCTAAGTCCCCAGAGGCCAGGAATCAGATCTTGTGTTTCTTTTGCGGTGCTTAATGAGCACAGAGCTTTGCATAGAACAGAACTCGGGTAACACTATATGCTGTGTAACTATAATGATCACATAGTCTTCTATCACATATAAAAATTCATCCTACACTGACACTTACATTCACACTTACATGAATACAAACAAAAACACACTAATCACAAATGTGGGTTCTATATCAAACTTCATGGAACCACATTGAATGTAAATGTAAATCGCGGTACATAAATATCCCAAGGTATCATGCATTCTCATCATGGAGAACTCACTCACAAACATACCATATAGTTGTTTACTCATTAACTACCATGTCCCCCCAGCAGATACAACCAAGTCCCTGCATAGGTTCCCTCCCACAATATACACCTGCCATCTCTTACAGCCCTCTATCGCACTGCAGTTCTTTTTCTCATAATCTCTGTTCCTCCCTCCCTGCCTCCGTCCCTCTCTCTTTCCGTTTCTCTCCCATTTTTGCTTTTGCCCTCCTTACCATCTTTAAACATGCGGACCCCTGAGCGATTTTTTCCCTGCTTTGAATCAGCTAGAGACATTAGCATGGTTGCAGGGAGCAAGGTGACAAAAGGTGTATCCAGGGACCAGGAAGAACGGCCCACATCAATCTGCAGGAAAGCACAGCCACAGTTACCTGGGGACAAAAGTTTGAGAGACGGATAAGAGTTACAGGGTGATAGGGGCTCCCCTGACTGTACACAAGAGAATCAGGGAATAGAGCTAATTGGAAGCTAAGAAAGGTCAAGCAACATAATGAGCCAGTAGCTGAAGTAAAACAAGCCCTCAGCCCACTAAGTGACAATGTGAAGGTTCACTGTGTTTCTCTCAGCCAGAAGCCTTCCCTTAACTGAAGAGACTTGTTGCTTCCCTGTCCTCTATCTCTGGCAGGCTGTGTGAAACTCTCTCCCTTAAATCCTTCCTAGGGACGATGTCCTGACATCTTTCTGTCCTGACAGAGCTGAAACCTATGGTCTTTGTCAGCTCTATATTCCAGAGAATTCTAATGCCAACCTTTCCAACCTATAAACTCCTATGGAGCCTTCCCAGATTAGCCTGCAGAGTTCATCTCAAGCACCCTCTTGACCCTAATATTTAGAAGTGTCTATCGATTCTGTTCATTGGCATTGATAATTATGTTGATGTCCTAAGGCTCCACCCAGACCACCAGGATCAAAGGAGGGCAGGTATATTGCTTAATTCAGGGAGTATCACTTGCATTCAATTCTATGAGAGTGGAACCCTTAGAGTTTGTCAATACCACATACCTGCCCCGAAGGCAAGGTCCACATCTCCCTTTCACACCAGTTACAGCTTATTCCCTGAAGGCTGCTCAGCCAGACTGAACTGCGACATTTTGGTGGAGCTTTGGAGGGGAATGCTATTCCTGTGTTCTCCCATGGAGGTTCCTAGACTCCCAGAGATTTCACTCACCTACATCAATGTAGCCAATGGGCACTGCCCTCTCCAGCTGTAGTTCCACTTTGAGTTGCCCACTCTTGTCTCGAGGGCAACTGAGCCATGGTCCCCTCTGACTGTCTGAGTTCAGCAAATTCTCCACAGGATACTTGGGATCCTAAATCAGAGAAGAGAGAAAATCAGGCACCTTACTGGGCCCAAGGAAACAAAGGATGCCCATGAATGAGGGATCCCTATACTCCCAAACCTTTCTAGGCATTCTAGTATAATAGGAAAGGTACTAGATGGAAGTCCATAGGAATGCGGCTATCACATACCAAGGGATTTAGACACAATTTACTTCTTCATTTACCACACTATCTCATTTAATCCTCAGAACAACTTAGGTGGTTACTATTATTTCTTTATAGTTAACAGATCAATAAACTGAAGCTTGGGTTCAGGAATTTGTCCAAGGCCACAAGGCCCAATAACCAACTACAGTCAGAACTCCCAGGTTTCTAAACCCAGAGCTCTTAACCACCACACTATGCTATTCTTCATTTATAAGGCGTTTTTACAGACACTATTGTCTTCAAAGTACCTTATGAGTTAAGAAAGGCAAAGATTTTTATTCTAAGTTTACAAGTGATGGTTAGAAATAATGTGATTTATTCAAAGGCTGCACTAGCAACAGAGATAGAAGCTTTCAGTTCTAACCCAAAGTCAGATTTTTTGTGAAAAGGTCTTGAGCAAACTACTTTCTCTCTGGGCCTAAATTTCTTCATCTATAAGTAAAGGGGGCAGACTAAACTCATGGTTTTCAGTCTTGTTTTTTGTTTTAGTAATAAAATCCTTCTTTTTAACTGAGGTCTTATACTAAAGTGAGTGAGTGAGTGAGTGAGTGAGTGAGGGTGTGTGTGTCTCCAACAAATAAATGCATAGTTCTGGTAAAAGCAGAGTTTCGGGGTGCTTAGAGACATACATGTCCCTTCTCCCTTCAACTTCCAAAAGTGGGTCCCCACAGAGTACAGTTTGAAAACCACAATATTAGAAGACAGCTAATGTTCTCTAGCATTTTATAAGGCTGAGACTGTGAAGAAACCATTTAGACTGACCATATAGGTGAGGAGGATAAAGATAACTTTTCTTCTATTTCTCTTAGGAGTTGATACAGTTAGTTCCTAAAGATGCTCGAAGGGTCTTTCTGAAATGTATGGAGATATTTTTGACTGTCATAATGACCAGGAAGCATTATGTCATTAGAGTGTAGAGACCATGGATGCTAAATAGTCCACCATGCAAATGATATTGCTATAAAATGAAGGTTTATCTGACCTAAAACGCCAACAGCAATCCTTGAGAAAGACTAGGGTAACAGAAGGGGAAGGGCAGGGAGAACGGGTATATGGATCGGGAAATGACAGCAGAGGAAAGGGAGGGAAGCCCTTAATCACCACAGTGGATCAGTGCTGGGTGCTGGTATCTAGCTCTAAATGGGATAGGGATTTCTGAAAGTGGACCTTTAGGAAGGAGGCTGAGCTCACATTTGCTGATGGTGGTGATATCCTCACAGGTCATGGATGACCTTGAGTGTCATCTTCTTTCACTGACAGAGTGACTAAACTTCCCTTCTGGGAACCTTGGTACAGACTTTGGTCCTATAGCTTTCTCAGTTTTCCTCCAAACTGAGGGTGGAATCTGAGGTTGTTTCCTTGTTTACCTTTAATTCCTGGGAACACTTCTTTTATGTGTCCTTGTTGCTCTGGAAAGAACCTGGGGCAAGAGCTCTGTTTCTCTGCTTTAACTCTGGACTCCTGGAGAAAGGACAATGTCTCTCCTATTAGAATTGGGAATTTCCTGAAAGTGGAGCCAAGTCTCCTATTTTTTTTTTCCACTCCTTTCAGTCACCAAGAAAACACCATGCCTGCTAATTAACATACCTGAGAGGAAAATGATACCACGTGGCTAATCTTCACAGGAGCCATGGTAGGCCCTGCAGCTGTACCAAGAGCAAGGTGAAAATGCTTTCTCCTGAGATTTCTTCTGTTAGCACGTTGGCACTGCATCCATTTTGGTACCATCAGCTTCCGGGAGAGAAAGAAAACCTCTTATTACTCCTGAAGAAGAGAACAAAAGGAAAATAAACTAGCCATGGATGTTTCTCTGATAACAGGAGCTATTTGCAGCAGTCAGACTGTTACTGATTACCATGATGGGCTCGGTGGGGATGGAGGCAGACACCAGATCTACACCAACCAATGAACCAGATCTGAAACAGTTAGAATGCAACCACAGGGCAATAGAACAGCAAGAGCAAGAGATATATTGAGATGTTAATGCTGAGTTTCTATGTAGTGAGGGCATGGATCATGCCTTAAATCATTCATTTTTATATTCCTAGAGTCTGGCACATAGTAAAGATGTGGAACAAATGTTCAACTAAATGTATGATATAGACATATGACCCTTTTTTTTTTCTTCCCATAAAATGAATCTTAATTTAGCTTTAAGTCACTCCTCTACTAGAGATCTTCAATGGCTTGCTGATGTATACAAATCTCTTGCTACATGATAGGTAATAAATATTAATTCAGCGTGGCCCCTCAAACATCTGCAATGGGGATCTCAACATCTCCTGCTTCATCTCCTATTCCTTTCATTAGAGATGTGTTTTACTTGACTATCAGTGTTTTGTTTATTTAAACTTAGAAGTTCATATGGGTATTTGTACTTTTATCTTTTGCTAAACATTTTTTAAAAAGATTTTATTTATTTTTAGAGAGAAGGGAAGGGAAGGAGAAAGGGAGAGAAACATAGATGTGAGAAACATTCATTGGTTGTCTCTCGCACGTACCCCAACCAGGGACTGAACCTTCAACCCAGGCATGTGCCCTAACTTGGAATCGAACCAGCAACCTTTTGATTTGTGTTCAGCAGTTCCTTGGCCAGAGGTATTTTAAAGTTGTCAGAGGGTCTATAGGTGGATCTCTCTCCAAACATTTATATCCTGCCCTTTTTACTCATGTTTGTTCTCACCTGGCCTCTAAACATAAATCCATGACCCCTGATATACTCCTGGCCATAATGGTATTCTTGCCTCCTTCCCACCCCAAAACAGTTTTCTCACTTCCAAGATTTTGCTCATTCCATCTCCCCTGCTTGGAATGCTCCTTCCTTTAACCACTTGTCAAATCAAATACGTCTTTAATGTTAAAATGTCACCTCCACTCTGCTCAACCAGCTCAAGGTGATAGCTGCATCCTCTCAATTCAATGATCTGGTTATGTCTCTTTTTTTAAAGATTTTATTCTACTTTTCTTTTTTTATAGAAAGGGGGAAAGAGGGAGGAAGAGGGAGAGAAACATTGATGTAAGAGAGAACATCAATCGGTTGCCTCTCCCTTGCCCCCAAGTGGGGACCAGGCCCACAACCCAGGCATGTGCCCTGACTGGGAATTGAACCAGTGACCTTTTGGTTCTCAGTCCAGCATGCAACCTATTGAGCCACATCAGTCAGGGCCGGGTATATGTCTTATGTCCCTTGCCTAATTGTCAGCTCTTGGAGGACAGGCTTCATGTTTGATTCTTTTCTGTATCTTCAATGTAAGAGGAAGAAACTTACAGTTCCAGATTAGCAGATAGCTGATGACTGAATAAATGACCATAAATATTGAACTCCAAAGGGCCAGCAGTCATTGAGTGCTCAGAGTGGGGTAGTAACGAACTCTTAGTGAAAGCCATGTAAAGGTCAAGCATTCTTCAGAGGTCATATTCAACATGGTACCAAGCCTTCAAAAAGAGAAGAATGCAAGATGAGTCCTGAGTTACCTTTCTAGGCCTTTAGATTAACTAGAGCTGATTATTCCCATAATAGGAACTCACTGAACATTCAACAATTTTTCCTATTCCCTGCTAGATATTGGAAATAGAAAAATAATTAAGATACGGTATGTTTGGAGATATTTCCAGTACACATTTGTGATTTGATGTGGAATCTCCATCACCTCTCATCACCAACATACTGATGTCTGACCTAGCTAGCCCCCAAACTATACTCTAGGCTTGGAGACTCTGAAGCTGTCAATGTTGGATATTTCATTTAGTTAATATTTGGGGGGTTGTCTGGTAAGTACCAGGCCCTGTATCAGGTACTGGATATAGAGTGGTGAATAAGACATATAGTCTTTTTCATGAAGATCATCATCTATCAAATTGCTTGTAGTTATTCAAAGATTAAGTACTTTCTGAAGTCCTTGTGCCAGCATACACTCTGTTGTTCTTGTTTTTTGGCAATGGTGTGTTTACCCTGTTTATCTCCCTGCTAATTAGTGAGCTCTTTGAGGATATGGATTTTTGGCAACCTCAGAGAGGTGCTGAAACACAGAAGGCATTAAAAAATAGCCATTAAAAAAATTAATTTATTAAGTCAATATAATTCCAATCAGAATTTCAATATAAGCTTCTGGTAAACATGATAAACTAATAAAAAATAAAGGGCCAAAAGTTGCTAAGACAATTTTAGAAAGATAGACTAAAGAAGTGGCCCTGACTTTTGGTCAAGATGGCAGCATAGGTAAACTCAGCTCACCTCAGCTCACAACCCCAGCAAAATCACAACTGAAATAAAGAAGAACCATCATTCAGAACCATCATAAATTGAGTTGAATGGAAGTCTGATAACTACAGAATTAAAGAAACCATATCCATCCAGGCTGGTAGGAGTTCCACACCCATATGTGGTGGATAAAATTCGTGAGGGACATCTTGGGAGCGAGGAGTCCCAGCCCCACACCAGTTCCCCCAGCCCAGGGTTCCAGTGCCAAGAAATAAGTGCCTATAACTTCTGGCTGCAAAAACCAATGGGGATTGAGTGAGTGGAAGGCTTTCTGGAGTCCCAAGCACTTTCTCTTAAAGAACCCATATGCGAACTTACTTGGACTCACTCCCTCTGAGCTCCAGCACCAGAACAGCAGCTTGAAAGGCACCAGTGGCATACAGGGAGGAATTGAAGTGTCTGGAATCAAGGCAAGAGCTGGGGGACAGATTTCTCCCAGATAAAAAGGTGTGCTGATGCAACTGTCCCTTTTCTGAACTCTCTCCACACACAGCCACAAGACAGGCAAGTGCCGTATCTGAGGCCCCATTAACCTGGCTAACACTGTGTGCCCCACCCTGAAGATCCCCTGAGACTTTGTCCCACCCAACTTCCAGGCCCACCCAAGCTGAACAGTGACTTCTCCATATGAATGGCTGGTCTTGGCTCTTGCCTCACAACTTCCTAAATCCTAAGAAACCATAGCCTGCCTCAATTTATATCTTGGCTTCACCTGGGAATCTCCAAGCCCAGCACAGGCAGTAGCCATCTCACATTGCTTTATAGCTCAGGCAGGGTGGCCCTGGGACAAAACACAGGTGGGGACTGAACTTGGTCTGCAACACCCAGAAAACCCCAGAGCCAGCATACCCAGTGGACAGCTACAGACCACATTGGAACACCACCACCCTGCCCCTGCACAGCTGATCCTCCACAGAGGGCGGAGGAGGTTGGTGGTCAGTGGTCACCGCCAGTCCTTGAAGCTGACTGGCCTGGGTAAATCCCTCCCATTGATCTGCCAACAGCAATCAATGCTCAACTACAAGAGAAGGGTGTACTCAGTCCACACAAAGAGCACACCTTGAGTACCCAGCTTGGGTAACAGAGGAGGCTATGCCACTGGACTCTACAGGACACCTACTACATTAGGCCATGCTACCAAGACATGGAGTCATAGCAACTCTACCTAATACACAGAAACAAACACAGGGAGGCTGCCAAAAGGAGGAGACAAAGAAACATGGCCCAAATGAAAGAACATATTAAAACTGTCGAAAAAGAACTAAACAAAATGAAGATAAGCAATCTATCAGATGCAGAGTTCAAAACATTTGTTATAAGGATGCTAAAAGAACTTAGTGAGGACCCCAAGAGCATAAAAAAGGTCCAGTCAGAAACAAAAGATATTCTAATTGAAATAAAGGATAATTTACAGGAAACAACAGATGAAGCCAAGAATCAAATCAATGATTTGGGACATAAGGAAGCAAAAAACAACCAATCATAACAAGAAAAAAAGAATCTAAAAAAAACAAGAATAGTATAGGCTGCCTGAGGGACAACTTCAAGAGTTCCAACATTTGCATCATAAGGGTGCCAGGAGAAGAGAAAGAGCACAAAATTGGAAATCTATTTGAAAAAATAATGGAAGAAAACTTCCTTGATTTGGTGTAAGAAATAGACATGCAAGTTCAGGAAGCACAGAGAGTCCCAAACAAGGTGAATGCAAAGCGGCCCACTCCAAGAGACATCATAATGAAAATGCCAAAGGTTAAAGATAAAGAGAGAATCTTAAAAGCAGCAAGAGGAAAGAAGTTAGTTACCCACAGGGGAGTCCTCATAAGACTGTCAGCTGACTTCTCAAAAGAAACTTTGCAGGGAGGAACTGAAGTGTCTGGAATCAAGGCAAGAGCTGGGGGACAGATTTCTCCCAGATAAAAAGGTATGCAGATGCCATTGTCCCTTTTCTGAACCCTCTCCACACACAGTCACACAAGTGACTTCCCCATATGAATGGCTGGTCTTGGCTCTTGCTTCACAACTTCCTAAACTCGACACAGTAGGTTCCTCCCTTTGCAGGCTAGAAGGGATTGGCAAGAAATATTCAGTCTTGAAAAGCAGGGACCTACTGCCAAGATTGCTCTACCCAGCAAAACTATCATTTAGAATCAAAGGTCAGATAAAGAGCTTTCCAGACAAGAAAAAGCTCTTTACAATATAATATAATAACATTATTATAGAAAATGTTAAAGGGACTTATTTAGGAAAAAGATGATCAAAACTATGAACAATAAAATGTCAATAAATATATACTTATCAATAATTGAATCTAAAAAATAAACTAAGCAAACAAGAACAGAGACAGAAGCATGGATATGGAGAATCTTTTGATGGTTTCCAGATGGGAGGGGTGCACAGAGGAATGGGTGAAGAAGTGAAGGGATTAAGAAGTACAAATAGGTAGTTACAGAATAGCATGGAGAGGTAAAGTACAGTATAGGACATGGAATAGCCAAAGAACTTGTATGCATGACCCATGGACATGAACAAATGTGTGGGGATTGACTGAGGGATTGGGAGGTGCTGGCTGAAAGGGATAAAGGGAGAAAAATTGGGACAATAGTATAATCAATAAAATATACTTAAAATTAAAAGAAAAGAGAAGTGACCCTGACTGGTGTGGCTCAGTGGTTTGGGCATTGTCCCACAAGCAGAACAGCTGCCTGTTCAATCACTGGTCAGGGCACACGCATGGGTTGTGGGCCAGGTCCCTGGTTGGAGGTGTGTGAGAGGCAAACGATCTTTCTCTCCCTGTCTGTCTCCCTTCCTTCCCCTGTCTCTAAAAATTAAAAAATAGAATCTTTAAAAAAAGAAGAGAGAAAGAAGGGGAGTTCAACTCCTTTGATGACAACTGCAAAGTCACAGTAATTAAAATGTCTACAGAAACAAGAACATACATACCAGAAACAGAGTCATATAAATGGGAATTTGCAACCTGCTTAATTGGTTGGAAGAGAACAGAAACATGATTCTGTCAGAAAAAAAGATGAGGTAATAAACAGTGTTTAGAAAGTTGGTTCACAATGTGAAGAACAACAGAAATAAACTCTACCTCATAACATATTTAAAAAATTATACTCAAATGGATCAAAGATGGAAACATGAAAAACACTTTAAGGTAACAGAAACAAGGTTGAAATACAAATGACCAACCAAAAGAAGATATCTACAACACATATAAACTTTGATAGTAGTCAGAATACATATTTTTAAGTACGAGAAATCAATAAAAAAGGCAAGCATTTCAATAAAATACTGGAGAGAAGATATAAACACACTTAAGATAAAATCTGAATGATTATAACCCATATTTAAAAAATACTTGGACTCCCTAGTAATAAGGAAATTGCGAATAACTCATCTTTTAAGACTGGAAAAAAACTAAAAGTTTATAATATAAAGAACTGGCAATAAGATGGGGAAATGGGCCTCCTCATAAACATTTCCACCACATCTTCATTCTGACCAGCTACATTTTCAGTAGTTAGCCTATTTGAATAGTGTAGCTCTAGAGTGATTCACATGTGCACAAAAAGACACATGCAATGTTTCTAATAGCAAAACCTTAAAATTCTAGTGTCCATTAGTTGGAAAATGGATAAATGAAATGTTATATATCATACAACTTAATTCTACTTAACAGTTAAAAGGAATACTTAGATGTAAATATACATAAATATGGACAGACCTCAAAAGATAGTAAAGTGAAAGTTATAGATAATAAACAGAAAATAGCAGTTATGTTCATTTACAAAAACAAAAGTAATACAATACTTATAGTTTGTATGTACACATTGAATGGACTGAGAGAATACACAGCTAATTATACTAGTTGCTTCTGGAGAGGATGAAAGAGTAATGGGTCTGAGAGGAGAAGACAGTTAAGTTCAACTTCTATCTGTACTATTTTATCTTTTTTAAAAATGAGGAAGCAAATAGCTCATGATGCCAATAGTCAATTTAGAGTAATAGTGTTTATAATACTCTTAAGTTTCACATAATAAAAATAATCCCCATTTTTAAGTAAATGAGATGGCTGTAGATGGTGTAAATATTACCCTGTAACTTCCTGACAGCCCCCAAATAGTTGCCTGGCATTCTAGACCTTGTGAGCCCACAGGTCATCCTAGCCCTGTTCACCGGACAGACCCAGCAGGAACGCCCAGGGAGCAAGAGTTGGGGCTTGGGAGGTGTCGCGTCCGGATGCACAAATAACAGGGTGTTAGAAATTAATTACCGTACTCAGCTGTAAGTTGGGGTACAGCGCAGTGAATAAGGTATATAAGAAGGGGAGAAAGGTAGGAGCTGGAGACGCAGGATGTGGGATAGGAAAGAGTACCGAAACGTGTGACGTGCCTCCGGAGACATGAGAACTGAAGAAACAGTTTGGGGCCCGTGGAGGTCCCGGCAGCTTCTTCAACATCTGGAGCCTAAGCCGAGCGGGCACTTCCACAGCTCCTCCGAACGCCCTGTTTGGGCCACCCCTTCTCCCTTTCGGCCACTACCATCCCACCAGCAACCTCCAACGCCCGTCACCGGGGGACACAACCTCGAGGAGTCACCGCAGCCTCAGTTCGTGGACCACAAACCTATTCTCCCGCCAATTCGGCCCCCCTGAACTCCGCCTTCTGACCCAGAGCGCGACTCTTCCGCTTCCCAAAGCCCGGGAATTCGTCCTGGAGCGTCAAGAAGTCTCTGTTTCTGAAAAATGACTTCCACCGAGGCAAGAAGGCATGTGCTATGACCAGTAAAACACATTCAAGTGTTATATGTATATTCTCATTCAGTACAAATCTCTCAACGAGAGAGCGGAATTGAAACTTCCGGGTCAGATTCGACGCATTCTGGGAAATGTAGTCCCTAGTCTCTACGCTCCCTTCTTTGAGGTCTAGCGTGAGGGAGCGTCGCGAAAGTTGACGGTTTATGGCTCCTTCTCTTTGATTCTCCAAAGGGGAGAATTGTTGAAATATTTGCCCTAAAAATAATACAAGCCCAATTTCTCATTTTCCAAGACTCTCCCCCGCTGAAGCTTGGAAGTACATGGGAACCGTCCTACCTGACCTTTAAGTGAAGAGCAGGTAGACGGTCTCTTAGTCCCTGCCAGGTCTTCCCTTGTATTATGCCCCGCCCCCTCTGCCAGAGTCTACGCCTCCAATTGGCTAGGAACACTTGAGCGGCGGAAGCAGCTGGCTGGCGCGCGGACGGGGGAGGGGGAGAGCTGTGAAGATGGCGGCAGTGGTGGAGGTGGAGGTTGGACTAGGTGCTCCCGGGGAACGGGAGATGGATGAGGTAAGAGTGGAGAGTCAAGGAGAGACTCAGCCTGAAACTTCAAGAAGGAGAGGGGAGGTAATTCACTGACAGTAATTCATTTCATAGAAGAGACGGGGTCCGGAGAGGGAAGGAGCTAACTGGAGGGCGGATGCTTGGAGAGGGTAATCTGAGGTACCCTGAACTAGAAGGGGACTAGAAGGTGGTCTTGGGGTAGGAGACTTGCAATAACCTTAGGGGTGGAGATGGAGGAGAAAAGAGAAGCCAGAGGGTTGGTGGTGTAAAATTTTGAGATTATTGGCTGGGGGCCCTAGGGTAGGACTAAGAGGCTGAAAAGGTAGCTTGAGTCGGAGGGGCGTGGACTTCAGAAAGGGAAGGTCGGGCTTTCACTGTGGGAAAAAACTGATTAGGTTTCGGGTGGGCGTTGGGGATGCGGGCCCGGGAAGAGTGCTAATCTATTAGTATTATAGCTTTGAGTTTTAAAAAAATTAATCAATTAGTAGTTTAGTCATGATTGATTCATTATTTATATTTTTATTGTATTTTTTTCCATTTTAGTTATTTTTACGTAAGACCTGTTTTAGTTATCCTTACAGTCTCGGAGTTTGTGCATAATGTATGCTTAGAGAAGTTTGGGTCAGCTAATGAAAGAATAAATGGATGAATGAGTAATTGTATACCAGAATTCATCCATTCACTCATTTGACAGCCATTAAGTATCATATTTGTACCTAGTCCTGGGCCAGGTGATAGGGACACAAGGGGCCCGTCCCATTGAAGAACCCACAGCCGAGTGGTGGGAGACCCACAAGACTAGTCATTGCATCAGAAATATGCTGTAGTGGTGGCACTAAGAGAGGGGATGGAATCTATTTGGGCTGAGGAAGGCTTCCCAGAGGAGCTGAGTATTAAAGTATAAAATGAGCTCTATTTCTCTCCTAGACCTATGGGTACTTTGAGGGTGAGATTTTTGAGGGTGTATGTCCCTTTTATCTATCTAATTTAATAGATACTTAACACCTGGCATGTTCAATTACCAGTAGTTCTTGAAGGAATCATGAGGAGGAAGGAGATACTGAGTTTGAAGGGAATGAAAAAAGAGAAGCAGAAAGAGAAGGTGAAAAAGGAAAGGGAAAAGACTCTGAGTCCAAATATACATAGGAGTTCTTGTGGTCTTGCACATGACAGCTTATGAAGAGCACTGAGGAATGGAAGGAAGGAAATTAATTAACAGGAATGGAACCTGTGGAATGTCTGGAGGATCAGAATCTTAGAGTCTCTGGCCCTGTTGTGGGTGGTGGGGTGGGTGGGGAGAATTGACGATGATGCCGAGAGAAAGGGATTAGAATTGGATTTAGAAAGCAAAGACTATTGCTTTGTGGTAGGATGACTTGGAAGGTTTGGTTTACCTGGCTGGGATCATTAAGGTGGGTGAAGGAGACTGAGAAACTGTCGGGTGGTCAGAGCAGGGGGTTGGTTTTTAAAGAAACTTTTAGTACCATACCTCCTCATCACTAGAGACTAGAGGTGTTTGAATACCACTTGGTTGGTGAGGTGATTGTGAAAATGACCTCCAAGAGGCTCATTCTAGCCTTAAATTTCTGTGATTACAGTTGGCTCCAGTTCAGAGATATATTTGAAAAAGGTATATACTGTACTGAAGTTATTGTATATGGTTTGTTAGTCATGGAATCTCCTTTGAGGGAGCCTGATTTCAGGTACATATACCAGGGTTTATGATGTAAGACAATTTTGATTTTTGCTTCTTAGCTTTTCTTCCTTAATTGTTTTTAGAACTTAGAAGCTTCTATTAGTGTCATGCCTAGGGGTCAACTTTACATCTAACCGCAGGCATTCATCTCATAAGCCTCTGTTACCTGTTACTGAGAAAGAATGTAATTTGTTGTCTGGAAATTTTGTATAGACTCGCTCTGTCCTTTGCATTTTTAAGAAAGTAGCTCTGAGAAGCAGAAATAGTCATCCCTTCAAGCTCCAAAAAGAAAAAAAACTACCTCCCCAAAACAAGGGTCTGGTCTGGCAGACCATAGCTCGTGTGCGAGTTTCTGCTAATGTCTTCCCAGCTGTTTCTTAGCATCCTTAACTCATGAAAGAAGGTGAAACCCATCTTTCAATTTGTAATTATGGGGATCTGTGTGTTGTATACTAGGAAATCAAAGATGAGTAAGACAGGATCTTTACCAACTTACGGAATAGTGAAGAGACATGCAAATAGCTCCTTTCTATATGAGGTAATTGCAGTCCATAATGGAAGAGTGTAACAAATTCAGTGGGGCACAAGAGACAAGCATTTGTGTTGGCTAGGGGAAGTCATTGAAGTCTTCTTTATGATAGAGACAGGTTTACAAACAAGCAATGATTTGCATATCGCATCAGAGTAGCGTTCCTGTAGCACTTTCTGCTTGGTAGGGACGGTACTGTGGAGCACAGATTATAAAAGAGTAATGGATAGCCTAGCAGAAATGCTTTCATATTCTTTGTCACTCCTTTGGAAAGATTGTGCATGCTGTGGTTTGTCTTTTAAAATGTTGTACCTATGTTTTTCAATATCAGATGCCATTTGTATGTTAAGTAGTCTGGAATGGTGGCCATCAGTTCATCCACAGTCCTTTCCTCTTCTTTTTGTGTTTTTTATTATTCTCTAATAGTTGAGGTCATTTAGGCTTTGCTAACTGATGTTCCTGTTTCAGAGAGGTGAATTGAAAAAGAGGGTTTAGGAAAAGAGCTACCAATGAAAAAAGGGCTAGTTTACTTTTACCATAAACCAGTCCTTGTTTAAAGCCTTTTCCTTTCACTGTCTCATTTATTACTAACAGTAGCTCTGTCAGTTAGATGACATAAACCATATTTTATAAGTGAGGAGACTGAGGCTACAGAGGTTAAGTAACTTTCCTAGAATTCCACAGTTTGTGAGTGGGGAAGTGCAGATTCCAACCCAGGTGTGCCAGTGCTATACAGAACTTAGCCCATGAGATGCTGAGCATCTTGATAACATTTCTTTCTCTATTATTGTACTCTGGGGGTAGGTAATTTAAAGCTGTATGGTCTCAGTTATATGTGAAAATTGATATAATACATTTAATAAGTGACTGATTCGAAAGAGCATTTTTAGTTTCATCTCATTTGTGAGGTAAGTTATTCATTAGTATGCTCTATTTATGATCAAGGAAGTTGAGATTCAGAATATTTGAGACATGCCAACAGTCTTGCAACTACTAAGCGGTATTACTGAGATATAAACCCATTTTTATAAATTCCAAAGTGTTTGTTTCCCCTCAGTTTAAAGACCTAAACTGCAGGCTCATCTTACTAAAGTAAACTACCCCTGTCTTTATGTACAAAAGCCCCATCTCCAAAACACGAAGCAGCTTTTCATTCCTGAGAGGTTCAAAATGGGGGCTAACAAAAGGAATATTGGTTTTTCTGTACAGATCCTTTAAGTTACTGATAATTTGATTCTGTGGAACCTCTGGTCATGAGGAGCAGTTAGCCCAGGGGTAGTTAGGGAGATGAGAGATGGGTCTAGCCAGCTTAGGCTGGGTATTAAACATGATATGATGACCGGCTAAACTCAATTCTTTTTCTCAACCTACTAACCACAGTGTACTTGAGCATGTTAATAGGATATAGCCTGGGTACCGGCTAAGAGGCCCAGAGCAGATTCAGATCTACTCTTGAACACAGTGAGTTCCTCCCAGAAGTGGTAGCTGGCCAGCTCCTGAGAGAAATTGGTGGCATTATTTTGGCATAGAGAGAGCTGGCTTGGAACCTAAGGTGGAAAAGTCCTTAAACATCCAATCAGGGCCACCTGTCTGCCTAACCAGTGCTTGCAAACTCTGGATGTGTACACTCCCAGTGCATGTTCACCTGCCAGAATGATGTGATATCATGCAGATCAGTGAGTAGTTTCCAGCTCATGTTCAAAGCAAGTATTCCAGCCTACAACTAACTTGAAGTATTATTGTCTTAAGTGCATAATTTACCTCTCCTGGGCTCTGTTTTATTCTTGCTAAAAGAGGAGGTTGGACTAGATTGGTGGTTTTTAAACCTTTATTTAGTCACAAAACCCTTTATTCAAACAAAATTTATTTTGAAGCCTTCAGTCCTTGGAGGGACTCAGAGTGCCTTTCAAGGAGCTTCCTCTTATTGCCTGCTGATTGGGTGAGCCTATTTTATATTCTTTCATATCTATTTTACTTCCCAAGCCCAGCCCTATCAAGCATTATTTTAATTGTCTGTCTTACCCACTAGACTGTTAGCTACATAAGAAAGC